TTAATTAAAAATAACCCCAAAAAACCACTACTTTTTTAATTGCTTAGTTATTTTTACCCCTGATTTTATGGCCACTTAAGTAACATTTTGTCACTCAGCAAAGACTTTTACTACACCTATTAGTTCTACAAGCTTTCCACAGTTTTCTTCTTTTTTTCAATCACAGAGTATTTACTACGCACTTGATTTACATCTATGTATCTTCGTACTGCGGGGTTGATATACATACTTGTTTATTATTAGTTTGTTGAAGAACTATCAAGTTTCCAAGCCAACAAGTTAGTTTACTTGGGATAATAAATTTAAAATGAATTTCAGGCTGATATTAATAGTATTTAGGAAAATACAATACCCTGTTCCTCTGTTGCAAAGTTCTATTCTTTGAACAAAATAACACGCCTCCGCTTTATCTTTCAGCTTTGCTCAAAGCTGCCGTTCTTGCCAGTCTTTGATGTTAGTTGTGCGGTAATTGTACTAAATATTTCCCTTCAAAATATTCATATCAAAATTAGTATTTCAATTTGAGCTCCATTTCTTCACGCTAAATAAATCATCTGCGATGTATGCCCTTGTGTAAGTTACGCGATTTTAATCCGTAATTAATCTACTTTCCTTGGAAGCAAAACACGCCACAAAAAGCTTTTAAACAAAAACCGTAATTCCGCACTAAACTAAGGGCAACTTGTAGAACTTGGCCCCATTTTTTTTTCAATTAGATAATTGAACGCGTAGTCTAACATTACATTATTCTCCCAGAAAGGCAACCGTATAAAGCGTGTTGAAATTAATACTGCGTAACAGTTGTTATACTTGGGTTAATCATCCTTGTAGATCCTCTCTGTGCTACATTTACTCGGTTTCCCTCTGATTCAAGTGTATGTGTATAATCACCGGCGATTAACAGGGTTAGCTTAAAATTCAACAAACACACCACTAATTTCATTAGGGAAGTGAAGCTTTACATGCATTATTATAAATTCACAAGCTGGAATTTATAATATTGTTCTCTGAAAAATCAAATTCTGCCCCAAAACAGATTGCTCGCAAAAAATTGTTACATTATTTTTGAAAATATACCCAAAACATTCATACCTACAACTTTTTTATTTACTTTATTTACTAATAAATAACAACAAACACTTCCATATTGTAAAAACTGTAAAATAGCGTTGTAACCGTCTATAGAATTCTTTTTGTGTGCTGGAGATAAGATTCGTGTTAGACATTTTGCTTCGACAGTTTTCGTGGAGATTTCCAACAATCGCTGATAAATGTTCACAGTTGGCTAATACCTTGTCTAGTTCAAATACTCGGGAGGTTTCTCCGTAATTACGAGCTAGTTATTGCCGACCTAACACCAAGTAGGCCTAAACAATGTTCAACAATCTTGTCCATCAGTCTTTTTATTTTCCTCTAGCTAAAGTTATTATCCTGTTACCTAGTTCCTTGAGTTGGTATTATTGATTAGTTTAATTATTAATAATGTATTTAATTTTTGACGAGCTTTACTGTAAATAAGTGAATAGTTTTATGCTATAGTAATATTTCTATCAACAATCTAATATAGAGTTTGGTTTCACGTTTCACGGTGTACTGGCTAAGTTATTTCGATGTTGGAAACTATGTGTTTGGAATTATTTGCTAATCCGGCGCATGGGCTGACAAGCTAGTTCGAATTTGTCAAGCCAGCACAACAAATAGTTTTTGTATTAAACCCATTTTAAAGTTTCCACAAGTAATATCGAGAAGTTTGTCGCGATTGTAAAGAAATAAGTACGAAATGATGAAACTAAATGAAAAACGAGAGATGCTTTAAACAGTTTCCATCTTTGGCAGAGAAAATATGCAGGAAGGTAAGAGAAAAAAACCTTCGTTTCAAGAGGGTCTATAATATAATGAATTTTTCATCATATGTATGAGATTAGGGCCGGCCAAAGTAACAATTTTGAAACTATATACGTTATGAATTATTATCCTACGAAGATTTTACAAGGATGCGTCTTTGCATTTTAAAATCCATATATTTTTATTGTGACACGTTTTAATTTTTGTGCTAATGAAATTATGCGCAAACCCACAAAGTTTATGCGTCAAAAAGTGATTTAGCGAGTAATTTATATCAGGTACACGTTAAAAACCGACTCTCAATTTGGCGAAAGCGATTTTCGGTAATTAACGAAGAAACTCGTTAATTTTATCTTCTTCCTTTTGATGTATTTCACTTAACTGAATTTAAGCGTAAATATAAGCTTCACAAGATAATAATTGTTTGTTTTCGCTTTTTCTTTTCAGAAATGTTGATTTTGTACTAAAAATTTCAGAACATCTCTCACGATTCTAATTTAATTTCAGTGTTTTAATTTTACGATTGAGATCATCGTTAGATGTAAATTAGCATGAGAATATCAATTTTGCAACAATGCATCACCTTCAGAAAATGGTTATAAAGCTGTTATAAAGATAGAACTGCGACCTCTTGGATTTTATTGACACTAAAAAATACGACTTGCGACGTATAAAATTGATCGGATTTGTGATTTTGCGTAAAACTAAATGAGTAAAATTTCAACAATGTTAAAGCGGAAACTAAAATTACAATTTTTATAACAATACGTAATCTAACATTCATTTAGATCGATATACAGTAAATCGAGGAGACTCAGGTCCAAAACTATGATAAATTTCTATTTTCGATATCAAACTTTAAATTAAAGTTGGTACTCTGGTATTGATTGTGTGATGTAATCACTGTAAAGATTTTTGTTCTTTTATATTTACGACATGTTGAAAATAGACTACATACCATATCGGTTAAATTGACTCATTTCCATTGTGTAACATTTGAGGAATTTCAAATGACCAGTTTAACTTATGTTTTGAATCAATCAGAGTGTGTTTTCATTTATTATTGTAGACACACGATGAAACAGTTAATTTTATAAAAACAGAATATAGAATATGTAGGTATGAAAAATAAATGAGGGACAAACTATTGGCATTGAATTGGACTTTTACCAGAAAAAAAAGTAAAAAACTAACAAATATATTAATATGTAGGCCCACATTTGTTTGAAACCTCTTTTAAAGTGAAAATTAAATAAATTATTACAATGAAATTAATTTCTGTTAAACTTTGGAAAAAATATAACTTATGAGTAAAAATGTAATATTAATTTAGTGATCAAAACATAAAAGATCATAATCCAGTAAAATAAGTTAACAAAAGTAAAATAAAAATAGAAAAAATACTTCATTCTCTTGTTTTCAGATCTGTAAACACTTATAGTTCTACCTGACTTAGCATAGGCCATAAAACAAATTCTCTTAAATTTCTCAAATAAAAAGTAACTATAACAAAGACCAATAAAGCTCGCATTAAATTTTAACTTTGTGTTAAAAATAACAAACATGATAGCTTCACATAATATATTATCGCAAATGATAATAAAACTGTATTTTATAGCTCACTCTTCTAATATGATAAACAAATATTGTGCTTATTTTGCTTATACTCGATTACAAATCGAAAACAATCTCAATCTCCAATAAGTTGACAATAAACGGGACGAGAAATATGCCATAATCTTCTATTATGTTGTATTGACTATTCTAAACAAACTTCAGAATTATGTAACTATTTGTATTTAGACGCAACACGTAACATAACATTCACAGATATTGCTAAGATCAAATTAATTTTAACAATATAATTTTTATAACAGAATGCATTACAGCTTCTTATTAAGTAAAATAGGAAGTTACCTTTCACAGTTTGTAATATCCAAAATATAAACACAAAACTTCACAAACCGTCTTACAATTTCACTTTTCATTTACTTCGCCGTCCTTGCTTTTAAGCGAATGTCAGGATGATCGCATTGTAAACTAAAACAAGTTCTGACACTAATACTAATCTTAGAAACTTTGTAGTTTATATAAATTCCTTCTCAAGATGGTAGGAAACCAGCAGCCACAAATAAAGGGTGATTCCTAATATAGCAAACCCACTTAATAATGAATGTGACATAAAGAAAGACACAGTCTTGAAATCAAGTGCCAACCAGAAACACTATTTCAGGAACAATCAGTGTTTATTAGAATTAACTGGCAGTTTCAAAATCCTTTAGACGTTTAGCTCCCTATATCAAAATACAATCATCTATTCATAGAATCTATAAATAACTAGTTGTGCCTTATTATTCTATTGTTTCGTGAATGTCTAATACATATTTACATTTTCCGATATTTTATTAATAAAAACATAGCTTGAGTTACAAGACAAGACATTTGATAAAGAAGGACAGAGGGAGGAGATTATTTGAATAGGACAAATTACGTGTATTGAAAATCGCCTCTCCATCTCAAGACCTCAAATCTTGGCTTGATTAAACCACTCGACCACGAAATTTACTTTAACGCCTTTGTAATTATGTAATGTGAATCACAGTGTAATAAATCAGTTAAAACTGTTAATTGTTACAAAGGTATTACACGACAAGCTGTGTGGTGTCGTATAAATCAACAAGACAAAAATAGATAATGATCTTGACGAACCTATTGCATTTAGGTTATTTCATCTAGGTATTGTATAAGATACACGAGAATCACGTTTTCTTTAAATGGTATGGTACATACAAGGCTTTCCAGCTAAATGTTTATTGGTAGCCATACATATTCATTGTAAATTATTTTTCATTTGAGTTATTTTATTCCCGCAGCATTACTCCCATTCCTTGTTATAAATAACGATTCTTGTTGCTTGATATTTTAATTTATATTAAACGAGAGAACCAAAAATTAATTAAGCTATTAAAACATGCATTGAAATGACTGGCATTTCATTATTTAATTCTGTAAAGAATCGTTAACTGTTGTTAAATGAAGTTAACACAATTTCCAATACACAGTTTTTTTATCGTAGGTATGCTTCCGTCAATTGTAGCAATTTTTTATCTTTCATTAATGGTTTGTTTTTAAGTATTAAAGAAAACACATTTTACAAATTATTGATGTATTTAAAAACAATGTAAGTCAAAATATATACAGATTAATTAAAAGCAAGGAACACAATAACTTATTACCCTAGTAAAAACAGCAGAGATTACGTATAATACTTGGTTAAATGTGGCACAACCGCATCCTTGACATCCTTGTTAGTCCTATACAAAAAATCGCTAATATACAGAGTATTTAGGCACAAAATCCCTTGTTGCGCCAACGGAATATAGACGCTGAAGTCGGGGACACTTCTAATTTCCAGAAGACAATGTGTCGCATGCACGGAATCTTTAAAAGGGGGCCTAAAACACTTTTGTAAAGCCCCAAAACCTTGTCAAAATTTTCAACTTACACAACATCCAAGACTTGCCCTCCTCCCGCTTCTATAACTCTCACAATCGGCTCTTTCTTTTGCGCTACAACTATAGCACGCATATCGTTAAATGCGCCATATCCTCTTCTCGATATTTCTTTCCGCCACCAATGTATCGACTGCATTTTAAATTCGTTTTCCTTATCAAACACTTTAATATTTTCTTTGGCTTTGGGATTGCCAAACTCGAATTCTTCCTCCTGCAAAAACCGTTTCACCAAAACACAGTTGAATGTGAGCAACATACAGGTAGAAATTTTCCCGCCGAGGCACACTTATCAACGTAAGATATGTGAAGTATCCATTTTCCCGAAGCCATACAAGAGAGGGTTTTTTCGTTTCGCGCCGGTTTGGGACATATCAAATGAGTACATTTAGGATCGAATGAATTTAAATCGGACACCTGGCCGCCTAGACTTTCGATTTTTGCAATGATAGCCTGGCGTTCGTCGTTATTCAAGCCAGAAATCATGAATATTCTGACTTGTTGCTGGAATTTCATCATGGAACACTTTTAAGACATGTGAATTGTGACTTACGACCGATATTTTTTCCTCATAATCCCACCCAACTGAGAAGGGTTGGGAGTCTTTCACCGCCGAACTGCCAACTAAAAAACCTTCCGCGGATACAGTCGACTGAAACCCTCGACTACCCCTCCGGTTATCATTAATTGTATTTACCATGTCTTCAATTTGCTTAAGTTTCGTGTTTACAAACAAATTTTGAGTGTTGGCCTGCAATTCGAAGAGTGTGTTATATGACGCGGACCGCAGACTAAACACATATCGCACTTACCTCCGAAGTAGTATCACTATCACGTTCAGGTTGAGGATTCCTCACATTATTATCATTACTGTTTTCATCAAAATTAATTTCAAAGTCTGCGGCTCCACTAGTAGATGCCTCAGGTTTAATCCTGGAAGAAAGTGGACTGTCCTGCTGTCCTAAGAATTTTTTCCAAAATCGACGCTTTACTTCCGATAACGGCTGATTAAAAAATATTACATTATTATATTTAAAACCAAAATGACTAACATACAGTCGATTTCCTCTCTTTAGGAGGTGGTACAAAATCCGGGATGCGATTTATGTAACGCATCAACTCTTTTTTCGATTTAGGTGATAAGTGTGGTCGGATAAATGCACCAAAAGGGCTTTCGGGTGTATCAACGTCGTACCAAGTTTTAGGCATCGTTGGTGTTTGAGGAGTTCCTAAAAGATTAGTTTTTCGAACTTCTTCCATTAATTTGTTGATTGGAGTCACTTGGCTACAAGGATCGGGAGTTTCGACAACTCCGTTAAGACAACGGTGGTTTGTTGGAGTTTTTTCTAAGAAATGACAGATAAGCGAAAAAAACTATCATCAATACAAAATTACCGGATGTGCTGATATCTAATGGTTGCATTTGACTTAACGGTGTCATTTTTCGACTACTCGACATAGAAATAGGTGTGATTTTTTTGTCTGAATTCAATACTCTACTTGTCTTGGTTTCGCAAGGAGTCGTAACACTCCTACTGGGTGCTAGAATTGTATTTTAGTACAAACACAGAAAAAAAATATGTGTCGATTACTTTTGGCTTCGCCGAGCAAAAACTCATCTTCGGGTTCCCGTTTTCCGCTTTTGGCGCATTCGAACAACCAGTCTTTTTTCACTACCGGCAGCCCCCACTTTACAGCCGCCTGATATTTCTTCCCGTCTGCTTCCAAACTGACTAAGTGAGTCGAAGCTTGGACATTTTTATCAATACAATGGACCCTTGCGAACTGTTCCTGTGACGTTCCTCCCAAAGCTTCAATTAATTCTTTTAAGAAATTTCTTTCAAAAGATGTGTAACCACTAATAGTCACAATACAATTTTCTAGAGGTGAGGAGTCACAAATGACCAAGGGGCGGTGATAGTATGATATAGAAACTTCTTCACATTCTTGAATCGATTCATAAACCCATAAACTGTTGACTGTTTCAAGTGCGGAGGTTTGGATTGGGGTTTTGATGAACATCGGAGCCACAACGTAATCGGGAATGCCTTTGTATGTCTTTGTCATGATTGTTCCGAGCGCACTTTCAATATGTTCTTTTAGAGATTGGGATTCTTCAAATGATAAATTCACCAAAACAAATTTTTTCGTGTAGAAAATATTCGTATCCTGACTCGTTTTATCCACTTCTGAATTTTGACTCGAGACATCTGAATTCGAATTGCGTCTTTCCAATGCATCCAAATTAAATTTACTATCGGCATTCATCATCTGAACTAAAGTATCTGTTTCTTCACTATTTGTTACTGCTTTGCGGTACTGTTGCATTATTAATTCAGTGTCTAGTTCTATCTCACTCAAATTGTTTGAAGCCGCATTTGCAGTTTCCAAATCGTTTGAAGTGAGGGTTTTGGTAGATCTGAGTAAAGTGAGACCCTACAATCAACGTGTACGTTTTGTGCAACAATAAGATTAAATTTAAGTGTACTTTTCGTCCAAGAGGCGAACTGAAATGCTCTCTATCCGAATCGTGTAAATTAATTAAATAATTTTCCTCATCGGCAACTTGCTGTTGCTCCATACTGTTCAAAAGCCAATGGATGGAAACAAGTGAGACCGAGTAATTTTTTGCTTTTATTATTTTCACTTCAGGACAAGACGTGTCGCCCACAATTATGTGAGTGAGGCGGTCTGAAATGTCGTCGTATCTGGTGGCACCGCTCAAATTTAGGATTTTTGCCAGTTTCTCTCGTTGTTCCGGCTTGAAACCCGCCAAGTAGACCTTTAAAATCAAATTTCTAATATTTTTATAATTATATTAATCATAAACAAAAATATATTTGAAACGTTTTGATACTGTTTTTGCAATTGACACTCAATCTAGCACAACTAGCGCCACCTTATGGGCAACTACCAAAGTTAACGCTGTCTATGTTTAGATAACTACTTTTCTACAAATTCTACAAATACATACACTGCACCCATCCAAATATTGACCTGCCGTTTTGGCCTTTTTTATATCAAGTCCGTCAATTATTTTCCCCGTTTCCTCGTTAACTGCGTCTAAAAATCAGTAGTAAAAAACACAATTGTAGTCAAGTTATAGATAATTACATTTTCTTTTATTTGGAGAAATCCTATTTGTTGCAAGAGGTGACGACTGTGTGTTTTTTTGCATCACAGTTTCTTCAAATATACTGCGCTTTGTTGTGTTGTTATCTCCTATAGCACTTATCATTGAAAAATCCGGACATGTTTCATTCTCTTTACTAGGTGTTGAAGTGCCTTTTTTAACTGTGTATAAAGAATGAGACAAGGCATAGCCCTTTTTTATGCTATCATTTATCCAATCAACGCTTACGCAATAAATGTTTGGGTTTGTTCTTGCCGCTTTGTACTTTTTACTTAAAACACCCCTACAACCGATTTGCTATGATGTTACTTCCCATATTTCTCAACTTACTCGACTCCATATACAATTAGAACATCAGTCTTCGAAACAGTAAGAGCTGCCGTAAAAATACCCCCATTTTTTGCAACCTTTTGGGCCACTTCTGCTCTCATTTCAATATTAGAAAACCCAGTTGAACAAATCGTGAGATTATGAAACGGCAAACAGCGATATTTTTTAAATTCCTCGTTGTCACAATGGACATTATTTATCTGGCTGGCCTCCCAAACAGCGTCCACCCATTTAGAAATCATCAATTTTAAACCTAGCTCAGCTGCTTGCTGCAGACCATCATTACAACAAAATTACAAATAAAATTAAAACCAACTTTACCAAATACTTTTCAGACTTGACACTTTCTGTAATTAAATGTGTGTTAGTTGATATTAACTGATCGGTGCAACAGCCCCCCATTAACTGTACTTTTTCTTTAATTTCAAGCTTTCTTGCTTTGGGGATGTGGGAGCAGGAAACAACACATCCTGCCATTGCGACGTTATAAATCGGCCATGTAAAATTTGGGATAGGACGACCATCCATCAAACAAACTAAAAGACACCAAGGTCCTAAAATTCTGCTACAAAATGGTGATTCTTAAGTGGGTGTCTGTCATGATTTAAACAAACTTACGCACACTTGCTTTCTTTGAGAGATTCAAAATGTTGGCCTTTAAAGTCTTGGAACACGACAAAATCGGTTTTAGTAAAGTCTATTGAGCCAAAATTTGATTCTTTTACCCAAGACACGTTTACCACGTTTTGTTTACAAAACTACAAAGTAACAAATGTTATAATTATAATAAATTGACTGGAATTACCTCATAGGCTTGCAGCATGATATCCGAGGCCTCACTCTGGTCGTTACAATTCTGGGGCAATATAAAAAGCACCCTAATTTTGTCCATTGTACAAAAATTCTGTTTTGCCGCCAGTAACCTATAAACTTTCTACCAAATTTGAGATCTGTTTTGTTTATTTAATCACTAACACGTTATTTTACAATAATAAATAAAAACAAATTGTATATTACATCATATTAACATAAGAATTCAAAAAACATCACTACTTTTTTTGGTTAAAATTAACTGTCACTTCGAACACAATCATTCAAAATGGACCAATGAAAAAGCTTCTTAGCTTCTCCTACCCTGATCAAACGTCGAGCCACTAAATTCCCAAACATTTGCACCTAAAGCTCTCAGTTCCCCTACTTTTATGTTGGTAGAAAATATTGATTTTTGAATCAGAGCGGGGTTCCAGATTTCAGTTCAAGCAGCATCCCTGAGCTAAAGGTCGACAATAAAATTACTGCAAAATGCCGTGTTTAAACACTGACGCTACAGGAATTTATTAAATGGTCACAAAAATAATAGTATTAACTACAATGGTAATTATGGGTTAGTTATTTTTTGTTCAATATGATGTTGGGGAGAAAACAGAGCTTGAAAGGGGAGCCTGTTTTGGCAGATTATGGTCCAGATGAGGCGTTCAATGAAAGCGCTGATATAGAATGGGTCAACAAGGTATTTTAGGTGTCGTGGTGTTGTGAATTGATTGTTGTTAAACTTTAATTTAATAAATTAAATTTTTATCATTTTGTCTTGGTGTTTATTTATTGGCGCTATAAACTTTTTTAAAACGTTACAATTATTTTAATTTAAAAATCATGCAAGTAAAATTATGCTTTGTTTTAACACTTTACACTATAAATAACAAAACACAATACTATTACCAAAAATTCAACTGGAACAGGCCTTTGCTTACTTTTGCCTCAAAATTATTGCATCATTTTTAAACGTTAATTTCAGAGATGGGTACGAAGACTTATGCGCACCTGTGCTTTGTTGAGCTTAACTTCCGTAAGCTGCAACACTCCCAAGACATTCGAAAGAATACCTCCTATGCAAGGAATAACATTCGTCGTGGATATTATTGTTACTGTTTTATTCACTTCTGAAATGGTAGCCAAAATGCACATAAGAGGCATTTTGAAGGTACCTTATTTCAATTTGGAATTTTTACTTACTTTCAAATTAACTTTCTAGGGCGAAAAACCTTACCTAAAGGATCACTGGTGTCAATTTGATGCCAGTATGGTTTTCTTTTTATGGATTTCAGTAATTTTACAAATTTTTGAAATTATGGGGACAGTACCACGTTTCAGTTACTTATCTATATTACGAGCTCCTCGACCTTTAATTATGATACGATTTCTGCGCGTTTTCTTAAAATTCTCTATGCCTAAATCAAGGATAAACCAAATTTTTAAGTAAAAGTTTTGTGATAAGTGACTGCAAAAATTATAAAACGTGTTTCAGGCGCTCAAGTCAGCAGATTTACAACGTAACTTTGTTTTTCCTATTTTTTATGTCCCTGTATGGTCTTCTGGGAGTCCAGTTTTTTGGAGAACTCAAAAATCATTGCGTGCTTAACAACACCGATTTAAAGTAGGTACTTTCAAAATTCAGAAGTTAAAAAAAAGTTAATTGGTTAATTGCAGACACATTACCATCAACAGTCTTGCAATTCCTGACACTTTCTGTTCTTTGGATCCAACATCAGGGTATCAATGCCCTAAAGGCATGAAATGTATGAAATTAGAAGGCCTATCTCGATACATAATCGGTTTTAACGGTTTTGATGAATTTGGTACAATCCATAAACTTTGTTAATTTTTTCATGAGTTACAAATTTCAGTTACAAGTTTTTTCACTGTGTACCAAGCGGCGTCACAAGAAGGTTGGGTCTTCATCATGTACAGAGCTATAGATTCTCTTCCGGGATGGCGAGCTGTATTCTATTTCAGTACCATGATTTTTTTCCTGGCTTGGTTAGTAAAAAACGTTTTCATTGCTGTCATCACAGAAACATTTAACGAAATTAGAGTCCAGTTTCAACAAATGTGGGGTGTTAGAGGGCATATTCAAAACAGTACTGCCTCTCAAGTTTGTATTTATTCCATTTATCGCATAATCATCATTGAACAAGTTTTAGATTTTGATTGGTGACGATAGAGGATGGAAACTTGTAACTCTCGACGAAAACAAACACGGGGGTCTTGCCCCTCAGTTTTGCCATACAATTTTACAATCCCCCCATTTCCGACTAATCGTTATGGGGGTGATACTTGCAAATGGAATAGTCACAGCAACAATGAGATTTAAACATGACGAAAGACCAAGAGAGGTTTTTTACGAAAAGTACTACTACATGGAAGTCGGATTTACAATTCTTCTCGACTTGGAAACAATATTTAAAATTTGGTGTCTCGGCTGGAGGAGCTACTGGAAACACTCTATACACAAATTTGAACTACTCCTAGTCGTAGGGACGACCATTCACGTCATTCCTGTGTTTTACATGAGTGTTTTTACCTACTTTCAAGTTTTGAGAGTAGTGAGATTGATTAAAGCTTCACCTCTTTTGGAAGACTTTGTCTACAAGATTTTTGGTCCGGGAAAAAAATTGGGAAGCTTGATTATATTCACCATGTGTTTGCTGATCATTTCGTCAAGTATCTCCATGCAACTTTTCTGTTTTTTGGACTTTACCAAATTTGAAACTTTTGCCGAAGCATTCATGTCCATGTTCCAGATTTTGACTCAAGAGGCTTGGGTCGAAGTTATGGACGAGACAATGTTAAGGACAAGGTCAATGCTTGCACCACTTGTTGCAGTTTATTTTATTTTGTATCACCTTTTCGTCACTCTGGTATTTAAAAAAATCAGTTTAGATAAAAAAAATAACTTCAAATTGTAGATTGTGTTAAGTTTGTTCGTCGCAGTAATTTTAGACAACTTGGAGTTAGATGAAGACATAAAGAAATTAAAACAGTTAAAATATAGAGAACAAAGCGCTGAAATTAAAGAAACGTTACCTTTTCGTTTGAGAATTTTTGAAAAATTTCCTGATAGCCCTCTAATGGTAACACTACATAAAGTACCATCAGATTTTAATTTACCCAAAGTGAGGGAAAGTTTCATGAGACAATTTGTCTACGAAACTGAAGAAGATGAAAATTCGGAAGGTGGCATCAAGAAACTAAGCGAAGAGACTTATGATTCAAAAATTATATATAGGAAGCAAAAGCCACTCAAAGTTTTGAACAATTTACCAAAAGTTCGAGTCGAAAATATTAAGCTTAAAAAAACCTCTGTCTCATTCATTATCAAGTGATGATACTCTTTATTAATTTAAAGATATTTTTTAATTTTATTCTATTACAGTGATTCAAACAATCAAAGATTAATGTTAGGTGATTCTTCCATGATTCCAGTTCCGGGTACTAAAGGCCCTTTGAAGCCTCAAGGAACTGTTAACAGTATGAAACAGTTACGTATTGATCTAAAGAAGTGAGTGGCGTCTAATTGGCAACAAAATTCCAAAACACATCTTTTTGGAACTCAAAATTTTTTAATTTTTTTCTGATACTAGTTTATCGAAGTTGATAAATGTTACAGATTTGGTTCAAGATCAATTCGGCGAAGTGTTCGCAGTGGTTCGATCAAATTAAAGCAAACCTATGAACATTTAATGGAAAATGGTGATATTGGTGTTAATCGAGTTACTTCAAATCGGGCAAGACCTCACGATCTTGACATTAAATTGTTGCAAGCAAAGAGGCAACAAGCTGAAATGAGGAGGTATTTATCAACTGTTACAGTTTTAGATTGTTTTGAATTTCTCTTCTAGGAACCAACGAGAGGAAGATTTGAGAGAAAATCACCCGTTTTTTGATACACCATTATTTGCAGTTCCGAGGGAAAGTAGGTTTAGGAAATTCTGCCAGTTGATTGTATACGCCAGGTATGACGCCCGCTTGAAGGATCCCTTGACTGGGAAGGAGCGAAAAGTGAAATATAAAAGCCTTCAGTGAGTCTTATGAATAGTCTTAATTTTGTGTTATAATAAAAAATTCTAGCAATTTTTTGGGTTTGGTAACTTACCTGGATTGGGTAATGATAACAATGACGACTCTTTCATGTCTCTCGATGATGTTTGAAACTCCATACTATCGTGTAATGGAAAATGTTAGTTTACAAATCGCTGAATATTGTTTTGTTATTTTTATGAGTATCGAACTTGCGTTAAAAATACTAGCAGATGGTCTTTTCTTCACACCTAAAGCTTACGTCAAAGACGTAGCAGCATTACTCGATGTTTTCATCTATCTTGTAAGATACACAGATATGTTTGATAATTAAAAATAAGAGAATTTATTTCAGGTGAGTCTTGTTTTTCTGTGTTGGATGCCAAAACGAGTCCCTCCTAACTCTGGAGCCCAACTTTTGATGATTCTCCGTTGTTTGCGACCTTTACGAATTTTTACTCTAGTACCACACATGAGAAAAGTGGTGTATGAGCTTTGTAGAGGCTTTAAAGAGATTCTCTTAGTATCAACTCTCTTGGTACTTTTGATGTTTATTTTCGCAAGTTACGGAGTCCAGCTTTACGGTGGTAAACTGGCACGGTGCAATGATCCAAGTATTACGCAAAGAAAAGACTGTGTTGGAGTATTTTTTCGCAGAGTTTTCGTAACAAAAATGAAGCTAACACCCGGCGAAAACGAAACTTACCCTTCAATACTAGTACCAAGAGTTTGGTAAGTAATAAGTTATTTTTAGTAAAATTTGTAATTAAAATTTTCACATAGGGCGAACCCTAGACGTTTTAATTTTGATAATATTGGAGACGCGATGTTGACTCTGTTCGAAGTCTTGTCATTTAAAGGATGGCTTGACGTTAGAGATGTTCTAATTAAGGCTTTAGGACCTGTATGTTACCTACTCTTTTTTTGCTTTTAATAATAATTAAAAAATTTAAGGCCCACGCTATTTATATTCATGTTTACATATTCTTGGGTTGCATGATTGGTTTGACACTTTTCGTGGGTGTGGTTATTGCAAATTATTCGGAGAATAAAGGAACAGCTTTACTCACTGTTGATCAGAGAAGATGGTGCGATCTCAAAAAGAGATTAAAAATTGCACAGCCTTTGCATCTGCCACCAAGACCAGATGGGAAAAAGTTCAGAGCTTTTATCTATGATATAACCCAAAATATTAAATTTAAACGGTATATAGCTATGATGGTTTTGATCAACAGTGCTTTGTTGGCAGTCACGGTATAGGTTTCTTTCATATTGTTAATTTATTTTTACTTTGGGTAATTGTAGTGGAATAAAGAAGACGATCACACAGATATTCTTGCAACCGTCGGAATGATATGTACTTTATTATTTTTAGTTGAAGTTGTTATGAAAAATATAGCTTTTACCCCGAGAGGTTATTTGCAATCTAGAAGAAACAGATATGACCTTTTTGTAACAGTAACAGGAGTAATTTGGATGTTCTTCCACATAATGTTTAAAGTATTTAGAAAACATTTACATTTATTTGAACTAAATCAATGTTTTTTCAGAACGACTTGACTTATTTTGTTGGTTTTATGGTAGTAATATTACGATTTTTTACAATAACTGGCAAACACGCAACTCTTAAAATGTTGATGCTTACAGTTGGTGTGTCAGTTTGCAAAAGTTTTTTTATTATATTTGGGATGTTTTTGCTTGTATTTTTTTACGCCTTGGCAGGAACTATTATTTTTGGAACTGTGAAATACGGAGAAGGAATTGGGAGGTTAAAATAATCAGGTTGAAAAAGAAAATCCATTAAAAAATATTTTTAGGAGAGCTAATTTTGAATCGCCTGTAACAGGAGTTGCAATGTTATTCCGAATTGTTACTGGAGAAGACTGGAATAAAATAATGCACGATTGTATGATTCAGCCCCCGTATTGTACCCCTGCAGATAATTATTGGCAAACAGATTGTGGCAATTTTACTGGTTCTTTGATTTATTTTTGTACTTTCTATGTAATTATTACCTACATTGTGCTAAACTTGTTAGTGGGTAAGCAACAAGAAGTAATAGTGAACTGTGAATAATCTACGTTTTGTAGCTATTATTATGGAGAACTTTTCTTTATTTTATTCAAACGAAGAAGATGCATTACTATCGTATGCCGATATTAGGAATTTTCAAAACACTTGGAATATTGTTGATATTCATCAAAGAGGTGTCATACCAGTACGAAGGGTAAATATTTTCACATAAATTATACATACAAAAAATACAACAAGCTTTAGGTTAAATTTATTTTACGGCTACTAAAAGGCAGATTAGAAGTTGATCCACAAAAAGATAGACTTTTATTCAAGCATATGTGTTACGAGTTGGAGCGATTACACAATGGAGAAGATGTTACTTTCCACGATGTTATTAAGTATAATTCCAACATTTTATTCTAATTTACTTAATTGCGATTTTTTAGTATGCTTTCGTATAGGTCAGTTGACATCCGAAAAGCCCTTCAATTAGAAGAATTATTAGCTAGAGAAGAATTCGAATACATAATAGAGGAAGAAGTTGCAAAACAAACCATTAGGACATGGCTTGAAGGATGTCTCAAGAAAATCAGATCAACAAATGTAAATTAAATATTGTGTTGATTTAAACCCACAACTGTTTTTTAGAAGCAACAAAACAGTTTAATTGCTGGATTACGAGCAACCAACGAAGTCATCAATATGCCAGAAACGACCGAAGAAACCAAAAACGGGGCTCAAGACCAAGAAGCTGAAACCGAAGTCAAGGAAACGGAAACTAGAAAACAGAAACTTGTAACACTTCCGCGGTCCGACAGTATTGGGAGTACTTCGGGACGGAAATATTTAGCACCGACTTTATCCGATCCTGCAGCACGGACTGAGAAAGAAAGGGTTTCCACCAAAAAGAAGAATAATCGACAAACTGGTATTTTCAATTGTTTGTTAAGTATTTTTGTAAAAAAAAATGTTTTAGTTGTAAGTAAAAATCTTCCTCATGTAAATGAAACGAATGAAGCTAATAGAATGCCGAGAGAAGTATTTAATAATAAGACGACAGTGCCAAAAGCTTCAAATGCGATGCATGAGATTAGAGATTGGTGGAATGAGCAGTTAGCTTATGCGTCTCAGTCTAGTGACGAAGAATAAATAATTCTTGTAACTGTTTACAAACATATTAAATGTTTTAGGAAGTATTTATTATTTTATTAATAAAGATATGACATGTAGTTGAAATAAAATCATTTGTCTGTATACATACCTTTGTATGTGTGTAAGTAATCAGATAACAACGCAATTGTCTAAGTTTAAATATTTATGATGTTGCGACCCCTGAACCAGAAGCAATTTGCCTACCGTCTAGGTACTAGTTTTTCATTAGTTATTTTTTTAACAAGATTATTACTTTTCGTTTTTTTTTTTTAAATAGACATTAAGTAATTAACAAAATCAAACCAAAATCAGGTTTTAGATAAAAGTTTTTGCGTAATCTGCAATAGCCACTTCATCCAAAACCATGAAGCTGGTTACATTGTTTGTATTTGTATCGATTCTTGCGATCGTTTCATCTGCAAAAATTTTGGACGCGTTTCCTACAAGTTCAGACAGTTTGGTTCTTCTCCATGTGGTAAAACATTTTTTAACACAAATTTTATAATTCTTATGTGAAAACTCAGCTATTTAGACATGGAAACCGAACACCTGATAAATTTAGTCAGTTTCCGACAGATCCCCACATTAACGAAACATTTAAACCATTTGGTTACAGTCAGTTAACTACTGTGAGTATCTATTTTCATGCATTTAGCAAGTGTTTGTATTATTCATTTAATAGAAAGGTAAGAAAACTGAATTTGAGATTGGAAAATATATTCGACAAACATATGGTGATTTTATTCCTCAACAATATGGGCCGGAAGTGGCTTATGCAATTTCAACCGATTTTAAAAGGACTAAAATGTCACTTGAATCAGTCCTTGCAGGACTTTTTCCTCCACTCGATTCGGACGTTTTTTCTTCGGGTTTAAACTGGCAACCAATACCCTATGAAATAGATGACGGAATAGACTTAATACGTGTTCCTTCTATGTACTGTACTAACTACCTCCAACAATATTACAGACATCTTTTGTCAAAAGAAGGGCAAAAAGTTTTAAATTACTACCAAGATCTTTATCTGCAAGTTTCAAATTTCACGGGAGAAGATATTATCTTACCAGAAGAAATATTCAATATCTATGAAACGCTCGAAAGTGAAGTATGTAAAGATAAAAGCATTGTGATTACAGTCGTGCATTTAATTGTATTTTAATTAGAAAGATTTTGGACTTGAATTGCCTGCTTGGACTTCAGATATTTTTCCCGAAGTTTTGGAAAAGGCTTCTTCTGTTTACATAGAGTTTTCCACTGCGACTACTGGCTTGAAACGATTGTCTACAGGTTTTGTTTATTTCTTGTAAAACTGTTTGGTACATGTAACAATTGATTTTTAGGGCATTTACTTAAAAAAATTATTGAGGACAGTTTAGCCAAACGAGATGGTTCTTTACCAGAAGATCGCAAAATTTTCTTGTATTCAGCACATGATTACAGCGTTGGAGTAATGTTAAGAGCCTTAGATGTGTTTTATCCACATGTACCACCCTATGGAGCAACGATTTTTTTTGAAATTCACAACATTGACGGAACTTATGGTTTAAAGGTATGACAATATTTATACAAATCAACTCAATTTGAAATATATTTTTTTCAGTTGTTGTATCAGAATTACAGTCAGGCAACTCCACAACTGCTTACTATACCCGGATGTTCAAGTTTTTGTGATCTTGACAAACTTGTTGAGTTGATGTCAAATAATTTTCCCACTGAAACTGACGTCTGTAATTACTCTGGAGAACTTGTATAAATGAAGATCGCAATTATTATATGCTTATAGTCAATACAATAAAATATATTTGAAAAGTTATTTCATTGTTTTTTTTTTAACAAAGAAATCTCTTGTAGTTTTACTGCATATTTTCAGATTATTAGTATAGTGAGTTTTGTAATGTTCACCCGTTAAAAGTTTATTTTTCTCTTTAAAGTTTAGAAAGAAATTAATTTGGTCAAATTTTTAATTCAAAATAAAACACAATAGTTTTCGCAATTTTTAAATCTTGAATATTTGAATGTGATATCCACAATAATATTAATTTTTACATCGTTTCACCAGCTGGAGTACACACATCGTCCTCCCCAGGTAAATTTTCTTCCATCAATTCGTATAGTTGATCAAGCTCACAAAAACTTGAACATCCAGGAATAGTCAAAAGTTTGGGAGCATCTTTAGTGTAATCCTGATAGTACAGCTGTAAAATAAAAAAAAATATTACTTTTTAATTGAAACAAATTTTTGGTAATTGGTTACTTTTAATCCGTATTGGCCATTTATGTTATGTATTTCGAAAAATATTGTTGCTCCAAATGGTGGTACATGTCTGTGAAAAACATTTAAAGTTCTCAACATTGTTGCAACATTGAACTCGTGAGCGGAGTACAAGAAAATTTTTCTTTCTTCCGGTAGAGAACCGTTTTGCTTTGATACACTATCTTGTATTATTTTTTTAAGCAAAGATCCTACAAGAGAAACAGTTTAATTATGTTTTACCTAAATTTGTTGTCAAATCAAACCTGCAGACAATTTTCTCAAAGTAGGATTTGCGGTCGCAATTTCATAATCAACAGAAGCCGCTTCTTCTATGATGTCGGGGTAAAGTCCTTCAGTCCATTCTGGTAAGTTGAGACCATAATCCTCCTATCAGGCAAATAAATAAAAACGGTAGTTATTTTTTATATTGGATTTTTTTTTTCCAACTTACTTCACTTTTCAGAGCAAAATAAATTCCGGCTACATCTCTGGGAGTTTTAACACTTTGTCCAGCGTTTTTGCTCAATCCATGGTATAAATTTTTGTATTCGGCTCGAATTTCTTGGCCTTCCTCTGACAATAAAAATTTGAAATATGCGTTAATATAACTTGCACAATAAGTAGAGGCAACGCCCAAAAAGCCTTGACTTGGCTGTATATTAAACGGAATTGGCTGCCATTCTAAGGTGGGCATAACCAATTCACTTGGAAGTGGAGGAAAAAGTGACGCCATGACTAACTCTAAAGACATTTTAGTTCTTTTAAAATTCGTTGAAATTGCGTAAACCACATCTGGAGTGTATTGTCTGGGAATAAAATCGCCATAGGTCTCTCGGAGATATTTTCCTATTCCATATTCTGTTTGTTTTCCTTTCTGTTATCAAAAATAAATTCAATTTTTATATAATATTTTTTACAAAGTTTACTTACAATAGTCAATTGACTATAACCAAAGGGTGTGTAGAGTTCCGTTATGTGTGGGTCATTAGGGTAGATGCTCATTTTGTCAGGTGTTCTGTTACCATGTCTGAATAACTAAATTTTATTTATATAAATTGTTAATAAGATATTTGTAATTACTGCTTACCACATGGAGCAAAACCAAAGTATCTTCTTTTTGCCCTGTTGTTTCAGTCGAATTTGCTGAAACAACAGCTGCAAAAATGGCAAAAACGGAAATAAAGAGTAAACTCATTTTGAGTAAAACTAGAGACAAATTTCGAGAGCACGTATTTAAAGCAATTTTGAGCAATCTTTTTATTATAGCATAATTAATTCGTTAATATTACACAATATTTACATATAATCACAGTTTAACTTGTTGGTAATGTATTTTATTTTATTACATTTAATACTGCTAAAGCGAGTAAGCATTGCCAAACATGAATTAATCTAAAAGCTTTTAACAATAGTTTTAAATATTTTTTGTTTGATAATTAAGCGACGGTAATTGAATTGATACAAGCTGAGGTATTATCTTGTAAACCGATAAACTTATTAGGTATTTGCAAATATAATTACACAAATAACGTCATAAAAAGATTTCCAAAATTTAGCTTTATATTCCCGTTGGAACATGTGCCGTTTGTCAGTTTGTACCATGAACATTGTTCGATTCATCTTATCTCTTGTATTTTTTTCAGCTACAAGTTTAGCACATTTTGCTGAACTTGCAGGGAAAAAAAATGAGACTTTAGTGCTACTGCACGTGGTAAGTTAAACACAAAAATCAAATTATTTTTATATAAAAAAAATCATAGTTATTTAGACACGGTAATCGAACACCCGATAAAGCAAGTCTATTTCCCAATGATCGTTACACCGAAGAAACTTACGAACCGTTTGGTTACAGCCAACTGACCACTGTATGTTGTTAAAAACTTTTTGGTTTTTGTTCTTTTAATTTAAAATTATAGAAAGGGAAAAAGACTGAATACAATATTGGCAAATACTTGCGAAAAACATATGGAGACTTCATTCCTGAGCAATACAGCCCCGATGTTGTTTATGCCATTTCCACTAATGTGAAAAGAACTAAAATGTCGCTGCAGTTGGTCCTTGCTTCGCTGTTTCCACCCCTTTGGGGAGAGACTCTTGAGTTTGGTTTACACTGGCAACCGGTTCCTTTCAATATCGAACAAGGAGGAAATTTAATCAGTGTAGCCCAAAGTTACTGCCCAAATTACATTACCGAATATTACAACTACGTTTTGTCAGACGAAGCACAAGAAATTCTTGCCAAATACAAGGACCTGTATGCAAAACTTAGCAGATATTCTGGAATGGAAGTTCTCACGCCCAAAGACGCTGCTAATATTTATTTCACATTCAAATGTGAAGTAAGTTCAATTCTACAATTTTAAATAGAGTTTCTATTTTTGGTTTCTTAAAGGAAGATTTTGGATTGAAATTACCAGAATGGGCATCAGAAGTTTATTCCGAAATTTTAGAAGACGCTGCAGCTGTTGACTACGAAATTTCTACTGCTACCACTGATCTTAAAAAATTGTCTGCAGGTTAGTAATTAATTATTTTTTTATTAAGTGTAAGTAAATCAAATTTTTACAGGATTTTTGCTGAAAAAAATTATAAAAGATAGTTTAGCAAAACAAAATGGGACTTTACCGGAAAAAAGAAAAATCTTTTTATATTCTGCACATGAATGGAACGTGGCTACCATGTTGAGGACTTTGAATGTATTTTCAAGACACGTGCCCCCTTTCGGGGCTACTGTAATCTTTGAGATTCACCTCATCGATGGGAAATATGGTTTAAAGGTAATTGTTTTTAATTACGATTGAAACAATGTTTTAATTATTTTTTTATTCTAGCTATATTATCAAGATTACAAGCAGACGGATCCCAAACTCCTAGTAATTCCTAGATGTTCCAGTTTCTGTCCTCTTGAACAACTTATCGAGATTGTGGGTGAAAATCTACCTACTGAAGGCGATGAGTGCAGCACTACAGAAGAACTTATGTAAAATGTAATATCTGATGTGCACAACAAAATATGAATAAAAGAATAATACATAAAGTTTTCTGAGGTTTTATTTACGCAAAATTCATATATGTATTACAAATAGAAAATGCTATGAAAAAAATAGGAATTGTGAAAGAGTATTTTGAATCTTTCTAAAAAATACAATCAAAATACCATAAGAAACGGAAATTGTTTTCTCTGTTTTGAATTTTTTTCCATACCTTGCCCACCGAAAAGAGTATGTCGGTAGATTTATATCTTATTATCGTTCATTATTGATCAAAGTTTTATGCAGGACTTGTTATGAAGGGACTAATGCCATAGAGTATTATTGTAGCTACTTTACTTGATAATTTTAGTTTTATTTGTTTTTTTTTATAATGTTGTATATATCACGGGTATTATTTGTTGTCGATAGCCATCGAGCGACTTAGAAAAGTCCCGTGCAGGAGGCCTTCCGCCTCCCTTGTTGGCCTAACAATGCCCTTAAAATACATAATAAATAACTATTATCGTCGTTTATGAAACAAAAACTTTTGAAAAAAGATTTTAGACAATCACAATTACATATAATTACATATTAATCTAAAAAAAAAAACATTTCCTGGTATAATGATGAATTGCTCACTGATTACAATCATAATTACTCATTAACATGACCTGGCTAATTATATGTTTATTAAAGAAGATAAAACACTTATAGTATGTTCTACGTTAAAGTTTTTCAAGTCTGAGTATGTGAGATAAAAAAATTGGCACCAACACTAAAGAAGTAAAGAAAATAAAATTCATCATTTTCTCAAAAATGGAATTTGCTTTGATCTATTACAGTTTTAAACAGCTGCTTTTATTATTCTATAATCATCGCAACAGGAATAATGTATTCATAATTTTTCAAAATAATATAATGTATTTCATGAAGTAAGTATGATTTTCTTTGGTCATTGCATATTGACGACTTGCCTTTAGCATATCATCTAGGATATAAACATTAAAGGATGATTAAAATAGTTTCTTATCTTTTAAACCTACATGACAAACAGTTTAGTCATTTTAGAATAAAAATAATAAACTTACCTTGCAAATTTTGCTTGGTAACTTTGTATATTTAAATTATTGTGCAAAATGTTTAATGTAAATGGTTAAAGAAATTTGTATTATTATTATTATATTCTTCACAAGTGACACTATCTGTGGAGGCCGGCCGAAGCTCCGCGGTGAATCATTCATTATTTTTACATTTATATTTCATAAAACCTTTGCTCCTTTTTATTTATCGTTACGTACTGAGTTTTTGTAAAGATGAGTCGTTGAATATTATCATAATAATTATTAAAGTTAGTTATACCACGAAGTGTGGACGTATGAAATAAACAATTACAGTTGAAGGGTGTTTAACTCGTGCCAGGTCACCACCCATCTTGACTCATAAAAGCTAAAAAATATTTTCTTGTAGTGGATCTTCCTCTGTTTTTCTTTGATCTGTATCCCTATGACTTACAACTATTATACTACTATAACAATTATACTTACAACATGGTGGTGATATAATTTGAGTATCTGATATAATTTAGGACCCCCCCCCCCCACTTTGAAAATAATCAAGAAATATGAGCTTCAAGATTGCTTTAAAAAATAATACAACCGCTCCAGTGTTACATTCTTTTAGAAAAAAGCTATTCTAAATGAATAGTAATAAAAAGATACAAATAGATAACATCAACAAATTAGTTTCCTACTTGGCAATACAATTTACTTTCTTTAAATTTTTTAATGGGAAAAGCTGTAGAAAATATGAAAATAAAATACAGATTTTAAATCATTTTATTGTAGAAATATCTGTACATAATTCTATAAGTTTATAAAGTACAATATTTAAACTTATGTTCAATTAATTGCTGTCATATTTCCGGAAACGAAATTGCTGTAATAATACAAAATGAATGTAAGTTTAAAAGAAATAATATCGAATAGTTTTTTATTTGTACATTATGAATCCTCTACATGTTAGATAAAAATCTAAAATAAAAGTGTTTCAGTAAAAATACAGATTTTATCAAAAAGTGACTAACCACCACTCGCTGAATTTTATTTTTATATACCATTTCAAAAACAATTTACAATATTTTCTCCATAAAAATGCAACTCAATAAGTTGTGTTTAAAAATAATTTTTTTTATTTTGACCCAAACAATGAAATTAATGCACAGGTTTACAGTTTGTGGATTAAAAAATAGTAAAATTATATTTCGTGGATTGCGTACTGTAACAGTAAGTAAGTAACAGAAAATTTACAGTTTTGAGGTAACACAGAAAAACAATTGTAGAATTTTAAAAAATCAGCAGGTCTGTGCCACAACAGTACAAGTTGCGCCGCACAAATTTAGATGAACCCACTGTACTGGTTAATTTTTATACCAATTAATATTATTATTTTGAAATAATAATTAACAAAAATGTCTAACCATAACCAGTTTTATAGTTTTTGGTTTCACTATCTGAAGCACCAGCAAATAATAGGTATACTTTTAAGTTTTAGCATTTAAGACTTTGTTTCAGAACTATCTATTGGGATAGGTAACTAAAAAAAAATCCAAACAATTTGTGTTATTTATTTAGTTATAGTACTCAATCCACGGTTTGAAAAAAAAAACTTTTATATAAAAAATTTACTTACTTTCCTAACAACATGCTGCAGGTGCCACAGTTAGCTTAGATACTGTAAGAAGAAGGCTAATAAAGTATTGTTGGACTAAAGCCATATCGCCCTGCCACTAGACAGTTTTAACTCACAAACGAGTTTTTACACTATTTTACTTTTCATTTAGCGAGCCATAAGCACAATTTCAACGGCATAACTGTGTTTACTGCAAAAATCTAGTATTTTTTTAATAAATGCATTGGGTGGCAACTGTACATTTTAGTAAGTATGTTGTAACAATATTACACGATTCTGTATGTTGACGCCCTGAGAATTTTTACAAATCTTACTTTAAATATTTATCCACAAAATATATTGTATACATAAGATAAGACAAAACTTAAATAAACTTTGATGTCAGTAACTGCCAATTTTATAAAAAAAAATGGGTCCACTAATATCATTTGTTTGGTCATTTGTTGTGGACCAAATTTATTGTCCGGCAATGTATTGTAAAAACAAAAGCAAATTGAAAAGAACGAAAGATTCGCGTATGTTTTCAACAAGTTCAGTTATTATAAAAAAACTTTTATTTAATTTGCTCTGTTTCTTTGTCTGTCTCCACAAAATTTTGCGAGTCAAATTTAAGACAGTTTCTGTCGTCCGAACAAGCTGAAATTTTGCATACATAATTAATTCCCGTGACAATACAATAATGTTTGCTATAATCAATAATTTATAAACAATTGTCAATATCTCAGCCCCTAATTGAACTAGGAAGATGGACCCAACTCCATGCGATAGAACAGAAAAATCGCTAGGGTTTGTAAAGGTAAATCCAACACCCTATTCCCTACAGAGATATTACGAGATGAAATTTCAACATCACTGTTTGAGACAGATTCAATTCTATTCAATAAATCAAAATTATTATTTGTGTTTGAAATGTAAAGAATTTCACAAAACAGAATAAATTAAATAGAAAAAAGACTAAAAAGCAAAAAATAAAAATATATAAAAAAATTTTTTTAAAAAATACCTGCACTTTTATTTAAAAAAAAATACTAAAAAGTAAAAAATAAGAAAAACATTTTTGCTTACAGCTTAAGTTTTTAAAATTAATAAAAGCTTTGGGGGCAGTCAACTAACCAAAGTAATTGTGTAATACTTGTTTACGCTACGTACTTCAAGACTAATCAAATTTAATCAAATTTGAATATGCCAGCAGTGTGCGTTTAATAAAATAAAAATTATCTTTTTGGTACAAGAAGGTATGTCTCAAAGACGTGTATCTATACTTTTGGGCATACCAAGGACTACCATTTCAAAGGACAAAGGTAAAAAGTAGCAAGGAGCATCGAGCATTCTGTCAACATGACAAATGTTAATCAAAATTCTGAAACCAGGTTAGAAAAATAAAGAATAATTTACACTTTTAATCTGTAAGGGAAGTTGTGTGGACGAAATTCACTGTCCATCACTGTACGTTGTCTCTTGTCATTCACAAATTAATTTAAAAATTTTGTCGGAGAGCATTATTATTGGACTTTACAAAAAAGATTTTATATTTTATAATGTATGTATGCAGACACCGTGAGAATTAATGTCGTAGATTGAATATAGAATATCGATTTAAATAAATATTTATTTAATAAATAAAACTATTTGGAGATGTTAGTAAAGTTTAGCATATTGATATTTGTGAGTCATATGTGACACACATACATGCAGTTTGCTCAAAATATAATAACCATCGATAAATTATTATTTATTATAAATTTTCATTCTGTTTTACTTTTTCTTGCATATATCAATTAACGTAAGTTGACCTTTTCTTTACATTTACAACTTCTCCAAATTGTATAAAATACATGACATAAGTAACAATATTTGCAACCATCTGAAAAGATAATTTATTTTAAATTAAAGTAAATATGAACCCATAAAACCCACCCAACAAACAAATTTGCAATTCAAAGGAAAAAGTCCATACACCATAAAATTTAATTTATTTGAATTTAGACTATATAAAGTCTCCTGAAAGTTACGAAATATTTATTCTTGTCATTTTTCTTAAATACTCTACCTACCTGTTTATAAACACATCGAAAATAACGTATGTTTAGAATACTTTCTAGTTCGCTGCTTAGTAATTTGTCCTAAAAAAAAACTTGAAAAATATAACATAAGTGTATTAGGATAAAAATACCTTAACTATTATTTTATCTAAATAAAATATTATCGTAAAATCGGAAATCGATATTAAAATGATCCAAATTAAAAAATTAAGAATTGTTGATAAAAAAATTTTAGCTTCGCCTCCAAAAATTACTCTTGTATGATAGTATATACCAGTTGTAGTAATAAACAAATCAATTATAATTTTTATGAAAATATAAAACTGGAAGTCCTTTTTGATTAAAAAAAACACATGCCTCAAAACATGATACAATTTCAAAATTTCTTTGCTACTGTAGTCACTAATATGTCTCATGGCCTCTATAAAGAATAAAATTGCTTCATACTGCTTTTTCAAAATTATTAAAAAAGCAATTATAAACAATTCAAAAATGAAATGATAACTCCAGGAAAGAAAATATATGATTGTGTTTAATTTTTCATTGGGATTGTTAATACAATCCAAAACACAACAAAAAATCGTCATCCCATACTCAGTCAATACAATTTTAAAAATTTGTAATCTTACATGTCTATGATAAGATAACTTCTTTTTGGTTATTTTAAAAATAATTCTATCTAAAGTTACAAACTTTGCCATTAAATATTTAATTCTTTTTCGTTTACAGTGCGAAAACACAATAATAAAAATATTTTCACAGAAAACCAATGCCAACTCAAAAAGCTCAACATTCACATGCAACTCATTATTGCTACCAATATACACAGTTTTGACAGAAAATACAAATAACAGGAAAAACCCAATTATCCCTGTAAGATATATTTGGGACTGTCGACTTGCAAATATTTTGCTTTGCAAATTGAAATCATTTTTTAAACAATATACAGGCAAAGCTGTATATTTCCAAAATACAAATATGACGGAAACGATATCAGAAATATTTTTAGGAGGCATAGTTCTAACAAGAATCACAAAAAAAACCTTTAACATTTTAACTTTTTCTTGCGTAATTACACAAAACTGGTCTGCATCCCTTGGGATTTAATTTTGTTAATAGCTAGTATAATGTCTATAAATAAAACGATTATTGTTCTATATGAGAAGTGATTATACAGGCTGTCTGGAAAATCGCGCACCTCCAACAAGCGAAATGTTAAATAAAATCTCTCCCTCCACATAACAAGTAATAAACAAGCATGAGTTTTGCAGACAAAATGTTAGCATTTCAACCAAATTGACTCTATATTCTATTATCACGTATCCATCAGTATTATAAACATTTTCCAAACCAAGAAATAACAGAACTGCGAAAAGTATTATTCCAATAAAGAAGGTTTAAAGAAGCATTTTTAAAATAACTATATTTGTATATCTATAACCACAATAACTAAAACTTATACAACAAAAAAAAAAAGTTTTATCTGACTCCTAAATTGATTTGTACATTTTTTCTTAAGTAATCTCTAAAATTATAATAAATAAATGTATGTATAATATATTTATGTACATACGCACGATCCCACTCCTCCCAACATCTGTTTTTGTTACTTTTTTCTTTTTCTACCAGATAAAATTATAAAAACCTAAAAAATCTTCTAAACTGGCAAGAATTGTCCACACAAATCATAAAAATAAGTTAGTTACATATCAAATTAAACATTAAATCTAAACAATTAAAAGGTTTTGAAAAAAAACATTCTCAATGAATTGAAATAATGTCACCAAACTTAACCACCAAACATCAAAAACGTTTTTTGTTAAAAAAATTATCGACAACTTCATGTAACTTCAATAATTTGATTGTCACATTGTTTAAACCTTACATTATTTATTTTGTTTTTATTTTGTTAGACAATTAATTACACAGTTTTTCTACTTTATTTTTCTAAATTATATTTGTATTGCAATGATTTTAGAATAAAAATTTCCAAGTTTCCAGTTTGTACGTTTTTTACAATTGCTTTTCGTTTATTGCAACATACAATAAATAACAAACACGAATTTTGTAGAAACAATGTTAATAATTCAGTGAAATTCACACTACGAGTAGGTATTTTCAATTAATACAAAATCGACCATTGCTATTAAAAAAACTATTCCTAGGAAAAAAGTTTTCAGATTTGCGCTTAATTACTATATGCCACGTATGGTAAACAGCAAAAGCAGTGTATTGCCACATAGGAGTAATTGGTGCAGTTGTTTGACTTATTAGATTCTTTGACTGTATTATTATTTATTATTGAAGAGATATTATATAATAGAATTTTAGTCAACTTTATTTTCAACTTTATTATTTTTGCAATTTGTACCTACGTCAATAAGTAGCAACATATATGAAAAAGAAAAACTTTTTCATATCAGAGCAAATAATTTCCAGACATTTCAATTTTAATTCTCCATTTTGTGTTTCTTGTCCTTGAAATATGATAACCTGATAAGATAACCATCTTCTACGTTATCAGATTTCAATTTTATTTTTCCTTGAATTATTGAAAAACACTTATTAATACATCTGATAAATTATAGAAAAATTCTCTAGCTAGAGTATTTATTTGTAAGCAAACTTATTGACACATACAAAATTATCTTAATGTAAATTATGTAACATGGTTTTCTACTACTTTTGATAAACACACTTATGATTACCTGATAATAATCTAATAATAATAATTACGTCTACTTAATTTAGCTTGAAAGCACTCTCAAAATAACGTAATTTATAAGTAAATGTATAACCACTAATTTCAATAATTAAAACATATACAACAAAAGAAACTTTGAATTTTATTGTTAATTAACAACTGACTTAAATTGGTTTGCACGTTTTTAAGTAATTCCTAAAATTGTAATAAATATATAATGTAGGTTCCCACTCCTCCCAACATCTGTTAGAATTTTGTTATTTAAAGCTAAAAGAGATTTTAAACTCACCCATTGAACAACAGTACCATTTAATGGAAAAAAGCCGCATACCATAAAATGTAAATTATTATTGTGATGGTACAAACTGTGAAGAATTTGCTAAAAATTGACAAAACAATAAGCAAAGTCCCAAATAAAATTATCAATCGTTTACCGTTTTATACGGTATAAATTTGTTGTTACTGTTATTTCCTAAAATATTATTAAGTATATGACGTTTACTTAATTTGTCCTAAAAGTTTATCCTATTAGAGTAAAAATGTTTTTTGACAAACCTGTTGTATTATAGTTTCGTAAATAATTGCAGTTGTGAAGTCTTCAGCTACAGTAAGAAGTAGCCAAATCGCAATGACCAAATATAACAAACTATTCTGGTGTGTTTGTGTTAAAACAATTTGGATAAAAAAGAAAACTCCTGTGGCACTCATACTTAGATCCATTAAAGTTTTTATTAGTATATAATTTTGAAAAGCTTTCTTTATCAATGTTACAATTCTGCGTAAAAATAAATGCATTTCGATGATTTTTTTAATTCTCTTATAATTCATGTAATTCCGCTTATTATTTTCTAAATAGAGATTGAAAATTTGGTATTGCTTTCTTAAAATAATAAGATACAAAGTTATGATTAACTGTGAATGAAACTGGAAGCACCAAGTTGAGTAATACACTACGATATTTACGCTATCTTCAGGTCTTATAAATAATTCTACTACTGTAGGAATAATAACCATTGCATATTTTGTAACAGCAAATAGTAAAGTTGTCTTTTTGATATTATTGTAGTAACTTATTTTCCTCTCTGTAAGGTTTTCCAACAATTTTTCGCTAGATAATAATTCAAAAGGGACATTTCCAATGTCTTCCTTATTTCTATGACAGAAGAGTATAATCGCAATATCATACAAAAAACGTATACAAAGCTCGAATGATGCAATATCTAAATGCATTTCGCCTTCATCATTCACAAATGATGTTCGCAAATAAGGCCACATTATACCCAAAAATACCAAAATTCCCAGGAAATACGTGTATGAGTTTACACTAATAAATTTTCTTTCATTAGAGCCCGCGATACCTTGGAGTTTGTAAATTGGTAGCGAAGTAAACTTCCAAGCTGTAAATAGTGGAGAAATGATATCGCAAATATCTTTAAAATTTTCCATTATGTTTTGAAAATACTATGACAATAAATAAAAGAAATAAGTGAAAGTTTTGATCAATTGTATGCAATCATAATATGTAACATGTAAACAATAAATATATTAATTTAAGTGACTAATAATATTATTGATTAATGGATAAAATAACGAAGTGTTACGTTTGGTATTTTTACAAACGATAGTCATGAAAAGTCAGTTAATTGCCTCATTTTCCACACTGTTTTTTGTGTGTAAATGTTTTGGTTTAACTTCTTATTCATTGAGAAAAAATAATGATTTTAAGCGTAGTACAAAAGATAAATTCTTAAACATATTTGTGTTATCACTAACATTGTTTGCAATAAGTTCAAAGATTAGTAGTTGTCACAGTAAGTTTGATAAATATGGCCACGTTTCATCACACATTTCGCGAATTATGCGTTATATTTATCTGTTAGTATTGATTGGTACGATATTTGCAAAACAAACAAAAATTGTTAAATTATTTAATAAAATGTTGCAATTAGAAAAACTAATTTTCACAATAACTGATAAACAGTTTGAAAGTAATAAATTAACACGAAATTTAAGATACTTTTTCATTATCCACTATATAAATATATTCATTCTTATTATTCTGAATTTTCCTCTTATTTACATTGTAGGTGTCTCGCTCTTTATCTGTTGTTGTAGATTTATTTTTACTTCTGTAATTCAAGTGACTGCAGAAGGCTTAGTGTTTTACTTTATTAATGCAAGTTCACATTTAATAAACCATTTAAACACTAATTGTAAACAATTTGCAATAAGACACAAAATTATTAAATGTTATCAAATTTCTTTTGAATTAAAAACAAAAATTGAAGAAATTGTTGGCTTTTATATTTTTGTTAAAATCACACATATTGTAATTGAAGTAGCAACCATGATTTATTCATTTTGTGAAGACATTCATGTTGATTATTACTCCCAAAAAAATATTCTTTTTGTGCTAAATGGTTATTGGATGGTTCAAATTATATTTCAAATAATGTTTTTAACTTATTCAGTTACACATTTTTGTAATAAAGTATATTTCAACAATTTATAAATATAAACTTAACTGTGTTTTTGAAGGTTGCAAATATAGTTGATTTATTTGAAGATATTACAACCAATAATGACAACGAAAATGATAATAATGTAAAAAGATTCTTCCTACAGGTTTACACATTACCCCAAAAATTTACAGCACACGGATTATTTGTTCTTGATTGGTCACTACTTTATTTTGTAGGTACATACATACTGACATTTTTAATTACAATTTAATTTCTAGATGACTGGATCAGTTACCTCGCATTTGATTTATTTGATACAATTTAAACAAACATCAAGTTAAAAAATTACTCGGCTCTTTCTTGATTTATTCACTCTTAAATGCAAGTTACTAGAAAATTTACATAACAATATAGTGTTGTAGGATGAATCAGGTCTTGTGTGCTTGGATTGGATTTTGGGATAAACAGTTTCTGCAGTACAAATGCCATAGGACAGGCTCCTGTCACTTTGTATTAAACTTGGGAGTGATATCAGCAATTAAACTTGGTATTAAAGATTAAAAATTTGGTATTGCTTTTTTAAAATAATAAGATACAAAGTTATGATTAACTGTGAATGAAACTGGAAGCACCAAGTTGAGTAATACATTACGATATTTACGTTATCTTCAGGTCTTATAAACAATTCTATTACTGTACTATTGTATATTTTGTAACAGCAAATAGTAAAATTGTCTTTTTGATACTATTATAGTAATTTATTTTTTCTCTGTAAGATTGTCCAACAATTTTTCGCTAAATAATAATTCAAAAGAGATATTTTTAATGTCTTCCTTGATTCTATGACAGAAGAGAATAATTCCCAATATCATACAAGAAACGTATACAAAGCTCGAATGATGAAATATCTAAATGCATTTCGCCTTCATCATTTACAAATGATGTTCGCAAATAAGGCCACATTATACCCAAAAATACTAAAATTCCCAAAAAAAAAGTTGTATGATTTTACACTAAAAAATGTTCTTTTTTAGAATCCCCAATACTATAGAATTTGTAAATTGGTAGCGAAGTGAACTTCCAAGCTGTAAATACTGTAGAAATGATATCGCAAATATCTTTAAAATTTTCCATTATGTTTTGAAAATACTATGAAAATAAATAAAAGAAATAAGTGAAAGTTTTGATCAACTGTATGCAAGCACTAACATTGTTTGCAATAAGTTCAAAGATTAGTAGTTGTTACAGTAAGTTTGATAAATATGGGAACGTTTCATCACACATTTCGCGAATAATGCGTTATATTTATCTTTTAGTATTGATTGGTACGATATTTGCAAAACAAACAAAAATTGTTAAATTATTTAACAAAATGTTGCAATTAGAAAAGCTAATTTTCAAAATAACTGATAAACAGTTCAACAGTAAAAAATTAACACGAAATTTAAGATACTTTTTCATTACACATTGTATAAATACGTTCATTTTAATAATTCTGAATTTTCCTCTTATTTACGTTGTAGGTGTCTCGCTTTTTATCTGTCGTTTTAGATTTATTTTCATTTTTGCAATACAAGTGACTGCAGAAAGCCTAGTGTTTTACTTTATTAACGCAAGTTCACATTTAATAAACCATTTAAATACTAATTGTAAACAATTTGTAATAAGATACAAAATTATTAAATGTTATCAAATTTATTTTGAATTAAAAACCAAAATTGAAGATATTGTTGGCTTTTATATTTTTGTTAAAATCACTCATATTGTAATTGAAGTAGCAACTATAATTTATTCATTTTGTGAAGACATTCATGTTGATTATTACCCCCAAAAAAATATTCTTATAATACTTTTTGTGCTACCTGGTTATTGGATGATCCAAATTATATTTCAAATAATTTTTTTAATTTATTCAGTTACACATTTTTGTAATAAAGTATATTTCAACAATTTATAAATTTAAACTTAACTGTGTTTTAAAGGTTGCAAAAACAGTTGATTTATTTGAAGATATTACAACCAATAATGGCAACGAAAATGATAATGATGTAAAAAGATTCTTCCTGCAGGTTTACACATTACCCCAAAAATTTACAGCACACGGATTATTTGTTCTTGATTAGTCACTACTTTATTTTGTAGGTACAAACTAACATTTTTAATAACAGTTTAATTTCTAGATAACAGGATCCAGTTATTTCGCACCTGATTAATCTGATACAATTTAAACAAACATCAAGTTGAAAAATTACTTGACCATTTCTTGTGCTATTCACTCCTGAAATGCAAGTTACTTGAAAATTTACATAACAATGTAGTGTTGTAGGATGAATTAGGTCATGTGTGCTTGGATTGGATTTTGGGATAATAGAGTTTCTGCAGTACAAATGCAATAGGACAGGCTCCTGTCACTTTGTGTTAAACTTGGGAGTGATATCAGCAATTAAACTTGGCACGAGCACTATGTAATATATTATACTATCGGAAACAATTTAAAAAAATTATAGCTTAATTAACGGAGCTTTCATTTTCGTTTACCAATAATACGCCGCCGTATTGCGGGTTGTCTATAATAAATTTCATTTGTACATAAATATTTTATTTGAAATTAGGTAATGGATCTGAAGTCTGAATAATAAAATAATGTGAAATGTTTTAAATTTTAATACATTATGCCCTTAATGTTAAATGCGGCGATGTAAAAACGTGTCAGAATAGAGTCCCCATTTTGCATTCTGTTCTCATTTTAATCTCTCCGAATACCAATGTGACGAGCTTTTGTCTAAGTATGCAAGTTGATGGTTCCTGAGAGACACAGCAATGCTCCTTTGTAACATTCCGCCGTTTTATTTCCACTCATATTGCCATCTCACCAACGTTTAATTTTTGCTCGTAGGTAATTTAAACACGAGATGAGTGAAAAATGAAAAAACCTTTACAACACGACAAGAAAATGAATTTTTAACGTTTTAATAACAAACATTCCTGCGTGGCGCTTTTATTAAAATAAGTCGATAACAATTTTGAATATCTTACTCTGTTATGATACTTTATCGGCAAAGGCGTCGTAATAATACGTTGAGTCAACAAGTTTCCGGTCAAATATTTGAAATGTGTATGAATCGGATTGTCGGTCCCTTCCCCTGGAGACATGCACTCTGTTAATATTAGCCAAATCGGTATATTCATCGTTCCCCTAGATCTAGCTGTATTTGTAATTCAACACCGCGCACATACTTGGTCGGGATTTCTTGACGCACCCTCTCTATTTTCAAAAGCCATTTACTTCATAGTTTAGATTCTCGAGCTTTTATCATATTCTCCCGGTTTGTGTTATCTTCAATATCCACACTGGGCCCTTATTAAGCTTTTCTATGCCTTCCTTGCATTTTCCTTATTGGATTACCTTAATTCAATATCGATATAACAAAGACCTTACTTGATTGCATTCCCTAGTATCTCGCCTGTAATGTATGGCAAAGTGTCGGCAAACTTTCGCGATTGTTAAAATGGTCTTTGATAAATCGACTAAACTAGAAATGCATTTCTTCTACGGTGACTACAAACCTCCAACCAACAGAAGGACAATCTAAAAACGAGGTTTAAACCGCAGACAAGGACTCTTTGATTAAGACTTATAACAAAAAAGGGTGCATCCCTACAGAGGGAAAAGCGGCTTTATTTATGACCAGATGTTCTGATACCAAACCTCTAAATCTTGGACCCAGACAAGTGAAAGATTTCTGTCAAGAACTTAAATTATATTGCTTTATACTTATTGATTCCAAACACTGTAAAAAATAATAATAAAACTAAAAACCACGCATTACAAGCAAACTAACAAAAAATACAAATAAATAAGACTCAAAAATATCAAAATAAATTATTTCAGTAGTTAATCAGATAATACCGTCATGAAATAACTTTCAAATATCTTTTAATCTTAAAACACAATTAACTAAACTAAAGTTGTAAATTATAAAGCGTTTCTTTTTTCTTTCAATAGATTTTGAGAAAAGCTGGTGCAACAAAAATATTAGTAGGTACTGGAAATACAGTACGTTATCCTAAAGTGCAGGTATGTCAGAAAAACTGACAAAACTTTTTAATTTGTGTGTTAAAGAGGTAGATAACAAAGTCGAACAAATCGAAACCTTATCTGTATTGTATCTATTGACACCGATAAGAAATCAAAAAATAAATATCCAATTTTATTTCAAATAAGTCAAAAATGAGCGTTGTTGTTCGATGCATATCATTAATTTTAAATGTTGTTCTTGGGGTAAGTCTCTGGAAGTCAAATCATCAATAATTTTCCTTTCAGTTACTTTCGATTGTTGTCGCAGGATATGGAATTATTTTAATAAATAATGAAAACAAAACTCGACCTGTCAGCTCAGCTTCTTTTGGAGCTCGATTCAGTGCTCTGGGAATAGTGACATTTCTCGTGTCCTTTTTCGGCTGTTGTGGATCCATTAAAGATAATATAAAATTTTTGTCGAGTGTAAGTTAGTCGTTTAAGATTCAATTTTTGTCTCTAGTTTCTTTTTGTAGTGTTGTTTGTACGCTTGCTTTGTTGTGTTTGCGTGGGAGCACTTTCGATAAGATTATTTAATTTGCTTGAAGATTTATTCGGAATGTGGAAGACCACAGTGAAATTTATGTATATTGCGTCTCGTTGATACTATAAAATACGTTCTCCTGTATCTATTAACGTTGTAATAAAAACCTAAAGTTAAATTAAGGAAGTCGTAATTCATCCCTCTCTTTCGATTTCCTAATTCAATGTCCAAAAAGCGTCTCTTCAAATTTCCGTTTAATAATTTCGCCCAAACATACATAAAACGTAATGATTCAGAGTGTGAGAAGATCGATTTTGCATGGATACGAGACGAACATTTATTCAAAGCGAAAATCACCAAAAGGCAAATTGAATTACGGAAAGGAATTAGGACCCGAGCCTGGGTCGTTTGAGGTTACGATTATTGCTGGAACCATTCCCGTTCACTGACATACAGGATTCTTACAGACACGGGCTTATAGCGATTCTTCGGGAGTGGAAAAAATCTCACGAAAATCGACAAATCCGAATCCGAAGTAATCTACTCCCGATTTCCAGATCAGGAGAATTGTCATGTTAAGGTTTTGAAATCTCCACTTTCTGATCGAAAAAACTTGATAGTATAATTATTGACCAAACTCGGTAAGTTTTAAATGTCAGACTCGGGATTTAGCAAATAGATAGCGAGTTAGTGTGTAAACGAGGCGCAATTTTTCAGCAGCTCCTCGTATAATGCTGCTAGTTAAGCACCAAGCTGGAAACTTGCCGGCAGTTTGCGTAATAAAGAGCACGAAACTATAAAATTAATGTATGTAGAAGAGGCATTAAAGGATACAATGAAAGAAAATTGAACTTTTTCATCGAGTTTTTATATTATTTCATTAGATCTAATGTGTCTGGGTTCTAAACTATTATAAAAACGGCCACTGTTAGTGGAGTCAAAGCATTTACTGCAAAACTTTTGACCTAGTAGAACATTTCTAAATTAATTCGTACACAGACACCAGTTTGATTTCCTGAAGGCTCAAATATCAAATCAGCAAATTTTCAGTCAAAATAAAAGAAGTAAAAAAATATGACATATCAGCAGCAACTGGTCTCGCTTATATTGAGCCATAAAGCTTCAGCTTTTTCAGTTCATCTTTCACATGACGACGATAGCACGTTTTTGAGATATTATCCAATCACATATGATTCCCGTTCCAATTCTCAACGAAAATCAGACATACACCCCGTGACAGAACGAATCAACTAAGAAAAATATTACCGAGATAATAACTTATCCCACTACTATAATAAACAAAATAAGATCATGTAAATAAAGCTCGTAATGAAACTTTTAAAATATCTTTAGAGCAGTTCAGCTATAACTCTAGATTAAAAAGCAATATTTTGTTTTCAACTTTAAACTAATATAGAGATTTAAAAAATTAATATTAGAAAACATTTTTTTCAATTTTTATCCCTGTACAAAACACAACCAATACTCTTACTGCAAGACAAGACGTTTTATTAAAGTAAACTCGTTCGCATGTATGTGTGTTACGTATTTGGGAATATAATATTCCACTTTCCTAGCGTTAGATATTCACAAAACCTGATGAAAAAATCAATTTTAACTACATGTGAATACATTACTCCAAAAAATTCCAAAATTTTTTTGGTGATTCTTGAAAGGCACCTCATCAAAAAAGGGTCGTATCTAAATTTTCAAAAAACTATTTTAAAACTTTAAGTTTATAGTTTTAAGATCTTTTGGCAAATATATTTTTCGTTAAGTCAATTTATAGGTCGGATTGCATGCTTGTTATTGATGGAAACTAATGTTTTTAGTCTTTAATTCTTTTATAAAACTTTCAATTGGTCCGAGAAAACGGTTTGATGGGTCGATTTACAAATTAGCAGGGCTATGGGGGACACTGAGCTGTAAAAACACCTAAAAACATTAGTTTTACTATTTTGATTTACTAAAACAATGCAAAAACTTACTTTTTTCTCTTTTCTTTAAATCAATCTTAAAGGTGAAAAAAATATATTTTCCAAAAAATCATAAGAGGATCGATTTTATAAGACATTTATTCCAGTTTCTACACTACCCTTACATTTTCTATGCATTGACTTAACTAAAAAAAAAATTCCTACGTCCGTGGACCAAAAACAAAAACATAAAAATTTAGATTTTTTTTTCTCGCGCTATTACTTAAAATTGCCAAAAGGAAAAAATATTTACCAAAAAATCTCAAAACTAGAAACTTAAAGCTTCAAAATGTTTTTTTTTAATCTAGATACGACTCTTTGGAGTAGTATATTTAAAAACAAATGTGCACCTTTGTGTCGCTAGTTGGAGGCGTTACATCAAAAATGAAGAATTTAATGAGGGTTTGCCAGATTCGTTTATAACAAAGTATCGTTTTATCGAAATGTTCTGTAGGAAATTTAGAATCTAATAGGAATATTGGAACTCCGAAAATTAAATTGGAAATGGATCGAAATCAATTAAATTTAGAATGTAGCCTCTCATCAGGTAAAATCCGTCTGGAAATAAATTAAACACACCTCATTCAAAAACGTTTGCGAATGTAATAATTGAAGAGACGTGGGTTGCTGGGGCACATTGGTTGTCAAATTAAAATGGGAGTTTTTTGGATAACTGAAGAATAATTAAAATAACTCAATTAGGCATTGTTTTCATAAACAAAAAGACAGTGGAAACTTGAATAAGAGGAAAGTGTCCATCTCTGCAGAGTGGGCCCGTTACTGCCGTTTTGGAGTGTAAAGTTTTGACAAGCTTCGTGATTAAGCTGAAACGTTAATTAAACTCCAAGTCATGAACATGAACAGGAGGAATACTCCATGGAATTTCCTTCTGTTTCATCGCACCATTTAAACTATTCTTTGTATGCTCGCTGTGCATCCCTCTTTCCCTATATTGATTCTCACAGGTTTCCGCTTCGAAGGCTGCGAGAATTGCAATTTATAATAAAATGCACCGTTTCAGGTAAAAACTGTAAAATACAACTCTGTCAGTTAAGAAACGCCAAGTTTCGGGTGAGAATTTTCATTAAAACTTGCACGTTGTGTAAATTAAAACTTCGACGGAGCGAAATTTTTACGTTGAAAATTTTTGTTTATTTGTGGTCAAAAATTTAATCAAACTGTCCAACACTGAATTAATAGTATAGAAAATGTAGCGTGACCGCCAATAAAAACCGAGTCGGAATTAATTTTGTCTCTTAATATCAGGTTTAATTGAAACCGTTGAAAACGTTTTGACGTTTTAATTCAAAACGTAAAATTATTATGGCATATCAGTTTGAGCATCACGTATCTCCAGTATGGGCTCGCCATCCACCATCTCGGCATTCCGCTACAATATTGAATTTTAGTCATAATAAATGGGGATGAAAAGCCCGGCTTGCAGCAGGAGCCACCTGCAGGAAAACAATGAGAATTCCTGAAGAAATATCATCTTTTTATTACTTAGTAAATAATAGGCTTATTGGCTCAGATCAAAATTTATGCACCCGAATTTTCATTCGTGAATGTGTCTTTTTGTCTTTTAAAAGGCTCACCGCAAAATGAAAACGACATACGAGCTCACAAATAATAATATGAATATTAAATGTTTATTCGAAGGGTTGGTGTGTCGTCATAAAGTCGGAATCTCTTTTATGTGATCCAAATTTAATGAAGTGCTTTGACAGAACGTCTGCTTCACGGTCTTCTGATAGAATTATTTTGCATAACAATGCAAAACTGAAATTAAATCTATTTTAAAATGTTTTCTAAAGCCGCAGCTTTTAGTCCGATGAGTTCATGCAGCGACCGGAGCCCTTTTTTGAATCACAAATATCTATAAAAACTGTGGACATTCATCATTTCAAAGAATATAAGCCTTGTGTCGTTCGGCAAGTATTTTTCGGGATATTTAATAGATTTTGACAAAAATTATTCAAAATCATGTGAATATTGCCGCAAGTAGCCTTTCGAGTGTGCTTTTTGTACTTTTGACTTCAGGGTTAGGTAAGCATACTAAAAGTACCTACTCGATTTTCCTAGGTGAGTGGGGCGAAATGGGGCATTAAAAAGGTGCGGCTGTATGTTTTCTCGCTTATATCTGAAACACGGTGTGTTTTACGAAAAAAAAATGGTTATGTAAAGTTTACAAAATTTTCTATAAGACAAGCAAGCAAATATCACAAGCACTTGCAAAAGGTTTCAACGCCTGCTTGCAAATTTGAATTTGGCGCCCTCTTTTTTTATTAATAAAGTATGGGTATTCCTTTGTACAAATAAAAAATATATTCACAGAATTTTGTCAAGATTAGAGAGTAAAGAAATTTTTTATTAAATTTGGTTATCAAGAAGTGTCAATAAATCAAAGTAAAGAAATATTAATTAAAAAGTATTTAAAATATTGTTTTCTAAAGTTGTTAATAACCAAATAAGTTTTACATTGAAAATTCTATTTATTTTTCTAAATTTCATCCTATCTACAGCCCCGTTTAATCGAATTTGATAAAACCGAGGATAGAACGAATGGTGCGAAATAAAAATTCGGTTAAAGCCGAACAAAGAATTTTTATATTTTTAAGCTTTTATTTGAATGATATTTTGTAAAATGAAATATTAGATTCTGAAGAAAATTTACACTTTTAAAACTTCGCATAATTTATTTTGTTTAAAATATCAACTCAAATTATGATGAAACAACTAATACGATTTTGTAAAAAGGCATGTAATGGGAAGTAACAACATTCCAAGAAGAATTATCTTCAAATATTTTCATCAGAGTATCAAAAAGTCTACAGATATGATACCACAATTGTTTAACTGCACCTATTCTGCTAGAAAAAAATTAAAATTCTTGAAATAATTTGAAAAAGTGATATATTTTCATAGAAAACTTTAGTACTTGTCACTTGCCTCCGCCCCCCTAATTCGAGTACACAGTTTGTAATATCACCAATAGATTCAGCGCCAACAAAATTACTTCAGATGTAACCTTTTGTAAATTTATGTCTACCGGCGGTTACTGAGATAATTGAAAAAAAGATCTATTAGGTTTTTTTGTTTTTTTAGCTTAGGAATAATTTCTGAACATACATAGGTCTTTGGGAATTTTATTTTTCTTGCATCTTTTGTTGTTTGAGTAATTCATTTTTTTTTATTTATGATTTTATTAAAATTCGCTTGTCTGGCGACCCTGAAACCCTCGCTTGTGGCGGCCCTGAGCACTTGGCGCCTATTTAAAAAAAAACATTTTGTTGTCTTACTTTGCCTCATAGTTTTTAAATTCCAAGTTTACTCCAAAAGACATTGTAAAATTGTTCTACTACAAGCCTCTGCAGCACACTTCTCATATCCACCTGCAAATTCCGTGTCAATAGTCAATTAGTCACAATAGAGAGCGTAGAACACATAAAGGGCCACATTGTCATAGTGAATGGATGCAAATACGAATTAATCAATTGCCCTACATTTTTCAATTAATCGAAAGTCTCCATTGATTGGCTTCTCATATTAGGTATTATAATGGCCGACATCAAACGGACGAATCAAATCAGTGAATTAAATTTTTGAATAAATTTAAAATGCTATAGTGATTGGTTTTTAACATTATTATAATAGCCGACCTTAAACTGTCCAATCACAATGCTTTCAAATTTTACAATAATCCTTAGTTTTTTTAGAGAGTGCGATGTTTACTAGCAAATATCTCGAAAACTAAGTATTTGAGATATAAAAAACTCGAAAAGACCAAACAATTTTTTGTAACACGCACCAGTTTCTGAAAAAGCATAAGACAGCACCTTCTTATTGTCTTCCAGCCTTTTATTAGTATACTAAATTTACTCAAATACCTACCATAGCACTGTCAAAAATTTTGTATTCGCTCATGCATTCTACAACTTGTTCGATGACATAACTAATAAATGCAATGCAAAACAAAATTATAGGTAAAAGTCTGTAAGTATTTTATGTTTAAATTATTTCTTTTTGCCTATTTTTTTACTAATTATTAAACAGGTCGCATAAAGCTATAGGTAATCATATTAAAATCGGATTTAGTATAATAGGAGTCTTGCTTTTATCATAAAAACAGACTATGGGTTGCTTATACCTAAATATAAATCAAGATATAATTTTTTACACACTTTAATTTAATGATTTGTGGATGTTCTATTTTATTTTTTATTTACGTTAGTCTTATATTTGCTCATAAACATAAAGTAGAAGACCATCCAAAAAATATAACAGACTATACGAGATAAAGTTTAAAAGTTTTAGGTGAATCAACTGCAGGAATAGGTTTTTCAAATTCTCGCTATTTTATTTGTTTTTTTTTTATTATTCATCTTGGATTCATGTGACATACTAATTAAGTATTATCTGTAGTTCTGTAGAATTGATGAGAATCGAATTCTAGCGTTTTTAAAATATAAATAAATAAACCTTAAATTTCTGATTTTGTCTTATATTTGTATATTAAAGGGTTTTAACCATTGTTTGTTAAGAGAACGTATGTGACATAAATAGTTTGCTCTTTGTGTGTTTCTAACGGAAAATGTGTGTAGATTAAGTAAAATTTGCATGGAGTAGTTGAACACAAACATACCGAGGAACCAACAAGGGGAAATTACAGACGCTCTAGTCTACACGTATGCAACATATGTGGGTGGACCAACTGAGCTATTCACTAATGTCCTGCGGTTTACTAAGTGCAAGACCATGTATCAACGTTAGTTAGGACATTTAACTTGCTACACCGTCACATATAATTTCAAATAAAGCATGACGGGGAATTATGACACACCATTACCACACTTTTTGCCAGATTGTTTGTTATGTTAATAGCTTGGTTTTAATGAAAACTTTCTAAAATATATTGCCGAGGTATGGTATCCCTGTGGACGTAATATTGGATTAGCATCCACAAGAAATTTTTAATACACATAAATATTAATTTCAAACTTTTAGTGTATACTCTCTTAGTGTGATAGTGTTAATGCCTTTATCAACACAAGTCAGATTGTTCGTCCGTGACACCCTACAACCAAGGAGGATTTACTCCCAAATAATTATATTGTAACCGCGACAAATGTGATAGATTATTATGTGCTCTTGTTGTTTTAAGGGAAATTTACTAAACCCCAACGTTCTAATAACTTGAGCAACTTTTCATTAGATTCAGAGATAATTAGTCCCGTTCTATAGACCTTATACAATTTTATTAATGTCGAATGTTCAAAGAAACGTGCATCTTGATATTTCATTAATCTAACAGCTTCCCTGGGGACTTGGGGAGACAGCAAAACTGAAAAAACACGTGTTTGAGTCTTTTTCTCCACTTCATCTCTTTAATAAAAATCGGGTTTGAAATTATTTACAATATTTCCTTTCAGCGGTGGTATCTTTGACTTGTGCACACAATGGAAGCAAACTTCTTCCTAGAGCTCATATATCAACATTAAGTCGGTGTGTTTACATTTACACATCAACTGTGACCGAGATCAATCAAAGCGAATGTGCGTGCATAGATAGCAGAGGCATTCAAGCAAATTTAAGTGAACCCAAAACGGATTTGATCGGTGTCTGAATTCAGACTGAGGGGATGGACATGAATGTACGCAGAGCACGCCGATTTCACAGGGGAAATCAACCTGCACTGGTGCTGACGAAATTCACTGTAGAAACGCTCGAGGGAAAGCTCACTGGTCACTACCGTGTCTAATGTGGGTTAATGTCGTTTAATTTTAGAAGGGTTCAAGCGAACAACATCGAGTATATACAGATGCAATAATTTCCTTAAGAAAAATTTAACGTCGTGGTGTAAACTTGATGATAAGAAATTTGGATAACTGACTAAGTTTGGCTTATACAATGGAGAACAATATGGCCTGTAATATAACTTCCGTCCTGAGTTAGGGTAGCTTCATGCACATTATGATGATTGCTGACACTAAGGATAACGACCACGAGAATCACTCATGCAAGAAAAATTAATGAATTAACACCATCAAAGGAAGGCTTTATTCAAGACGTTTGTATAAATCTGCTGACTGTGAATAGTCCTTAATTGCCAAGAAAAGAGACTAAATGTGATGAAATCAGGCAGAACGAAAAGAATTTTTACTTTTTACCTCATAATTAAGCACTTTTTTAGGTGGCTACCAATAAAACGTTGTAAAAGTACATATTGTATTATATTTCCAAAATATAGAGGGTGTTCCGTCTAAATCTCACATTAGAAGTATTGGGAGTTGGAATAATCGTATTTATTTAAAAATTAGTACATAGCCATAAACCATTAAGTCGTCCTAAGTGAAAATATTTTCAAGATGGCGGCACTTTCCCTTATACCGGAAGTCGGTCTCAACTTTCTTATTTTAAATGGAAAGGTATATTTTTTACTGCCTTTTTGAATTAATCGGGTTATTTTAAGAGAGTTTTCATCAGCTTTCTCTATATCTAAATTTAGCCGTTTTTGAAATATTTGGAGTTTTTCAAAAATTTTTGGATCTGCACCTTCCAAAAAAAATTAAAATTTTAAGGTTACTTTTGTAATAATTTAAATACTCATAACTCAATTTTTTCAAATAAAATACCCCAATTTTTATTTCACTAAATAGAAGAGAATTTAATTGTGCATTAATCTGTATTAACATTCCCTATACCTAAATGTAATAATTTTCATGTTATGGACTTTTTATTAAGACTACTGAAAATTTATTACTAGCCACACCCGTTTTCACATAGTTTGCTACGGAAATCAAAAATGTCAAAATTTTCTCTAAACAAACGTTAAAGTAAATTACTATTTGACAAATAGTGCCAAAATATAAAGAATCAAAATTATGCAAACTTAATTATTATTGATAGGTTCTACCATGCGATCATTATTTAAAGCTAACAAGTGAGAAAAAATTATTTTTATTTAATAAACGACATCATAATTTTGTAATTTTGTTACACTCTCCAGAAATACAAAATAAATTAATTAAATCTTAGTTTGAGTAGCTTTGACTCTCCATATTTTGGCACTATTTGTCAAATAATAAGTCACTGTCGACGTTTATTGAGAAACAATTTTGACATTTTTGATTTCCATAGTAAACTATACGAAAACGTAATAGATTTTCGACAATCTTAACAAAAAGTCACTATAACTTAAAAATTATTAAATTGAGGTATAGAGAATGTTAATACAGATCGATGCAGAATTAAATTCTCTTCCATTTAGTAAAATAAAAATTGGGGTACTTCATTTGGAAAAATTGAGTTATGGGTATTTGAATTATTACAAAAGTAACCTTAACATTTTAGGGTTTGTTAATTTTTTTTCAAAATTTGATAACACCAAAAGAATGATCTAAGCTTTTTCTTTCAAACGCCAAAAAAAACGAATTCAAGATTTTAAAAAATAGCAGAGTTACCGATTTTTAAAGTGGAAGGTGCAGATCCAAAATTTTTTGAAAAAGTCCAAATATTTCAAAAACAGCTAAATTTTGCTATAGGGAAAGCTAATGAGAACTCTCTTACAATAACCCGATTAATCCAAAAACGCAGTAAAAAATATAGCTTTCCATTTAAAATAAGAAGTTTTATTCTCACCTGAGGATGACCACTTTGTGGTTGAAACGCGTTGTGTTTTAAATAAAAGTTTGGTGTGACGGGCTAATCATGTTTTTGTTCATAAAATATGAAAGTTGAGATCGACTTCCGGTATAACTGAAAGTGCCGCCATCTTGAAAATATTTTCATTTAGGAGGATTTAATACATTATGGCTATGTACCAATTTTCAAACAAAATATGATTATTCGAACTCCCAATAATTTTAATGTGGGGTTTAGACGAAACATCCCTGTATAATGAAAAATAATAATGGGGTTGGGTAAGTGGTTTAGATTCTTTTATCTAATGTGCACAGTAGATACTTTCTTTTCTCCTAAATATTGTTATATCAACTAAAACAGTTATGTAAACTTTGTATTTTTCTTGTGTATGTGCAAAAAAAGAATAAAGAATTTTCGTATTGCCTCTTGCATTATTTATTGGTCCTTCCATTTTCGTTCATTCCTCCCAATAAAGTAGAAATGGAAAAAGCGAGTCTGAATAACTAAAAGATTACTTTTAAAATACAATCAATTAAGCGAAAAAAACAAATACATTACCACAATATATTCATTCCGGTTGGCATGAATCATTCCACCTCCCAGCATGTATAAGGGTTTTTGTGCCTTCATCAACATAAACAAGAGTTGTTTACGAAATTTTGTTTCACTGGTAAATTCCCAATTGACGTTATAAATTTCAGCAGCAAATTGTTCAGCCTGAAAATTTTTAAAAGAGATTTTCGTTAGTGCGAACGGTCTTGTTGATATTTTTTTTAATTAGGAAAATAAGTAAAGGCTAACTCGCCTCTAAGGCTAATTAAGATTAAATACAACCCTTAAAGTTGGAAGGGTCGGTAAGAGCAAGCTCTAAATCGGAATTAGACTGTTCTAAGTGGGGCAAGTTGGTCCGATAGTGATCCGAAGCAAACATTTATGACAAACGAGTGTTACACAAAGGCACATGGAAATGTAGTTTGCGCAGGATGTTGGGAACATTAACGAGAACAAGGAGTTAACAAGCTTGGATACAAACAGAATTTCTCAAAACGAATTAAAAAATCATCGATTAGTTTACACAAACCAAAAATACAAAACTAATCTATTTTTTCGAACAAACCTCTTCTTCGATGTCGCTTGCAGGCATGAAAAATATTGCAACATGAAAAACTACAGCAGACAAGTAAACAATGCTTTTTAGTGTATCCTCGAGATTCGCCGATCTGGAAAATTATTAGATAAACAAATTGTAGGTTTCCAATTTTATAAATTATATTTACACGTATATTAAGATGTAGAGTTGCACACAAGCAGCCAGAACACTCACAAAATATTGTACAAAGAAATATTCGGAAAAAATTCGGTTCAGTTTCTTGTGACTCCTAAATAAAATTTAAGTCATTTAAAATTTATTTCCAAACTCACCTCAACAATAAATTGTGATGTTTTACACATATTATTAAATCGTTTAAACACTCTTCCATTGTTCTCAGCTCAACTTGAATTGTTTTCAGTTTCTTTTGTAACAGCAAAAATTGTATTTTAATTTCAACACACATTAAAACATACAAACAGTCAACAGCACCCACAAGATAAATAATTTCAGACAATGAAAAAAATTGCATTACAAGTACAACATGAGTCGAGTGTTTAAAATCAGGAATCCAGCATTCCAAAGGAACCTTTTTTGTGTCGTCGGCTAAAGTTGCAAGAAACATTAATGTGGCAACAGAAGCACCAAACAAAATCATCGTTTGGATGAGTCTCGTAGCAAGTACCATTTTATGGCGAAGATATTTTCCATATTTTTTACCAAACATATCGTACGACCAAAATTTCTTCCTTTCCTCAAGGAGATTTTGGATTAATTTTGAATGGTGTGTTAATATAAATTTTCGAATCGGAAGCTAGAAAAAATAATTGGATTAAAAAACAAAAAGTAGTTGTTAATATACTTGTCCAAATGAAGAAACCGATTCAAACAACTCTGCTATTTTGAATATGTCATTATCCAAGAAATGAAAATCATAAATTACCAAAACGTCCAAAAGTAAACTAAGCGGTAACAATAACCCAAGAGAAATAAACCGTTTAATTTTTGGACTTGATGGTCCCAAACCACTTCCATGCATATATTTACGACATAAGTCGAGAAAGTCTTTATTACCCGTAGAAGCCATTTGTAGATGCAAACTCGTAACTGTAATAATTTTTAATCGAAGTAGGTTTTATATAACTTTAGGTGGGGTTGATAACAGTAATTAATCTTTGATCAAAGAATTTTATTATTTAAAATTTAATAAAGGTAGGCAGAATTGAAACAGAATTTTCTCGTTACATCAATTTACTGATTATCAAAAATTGATAAAGGCGACAAAGTTATAATTTTTTAAACAGAAAATGACTAGTTGTGGTTTTAATTATAAAAATTTGACGTGAAGGCAAATTGATGTTAATCCGATTCTGGTTCAAGGAAGAAGAATGTTGTACATAATTGATGATAATAGTCGCCTTATTTGCCTGAGAAAATTTGTAATTCACAAGAATTGCACAAGAGATCAATACGGATAGAATTTACAGTATGTGTCTAATTACAGCCACTCCTTTTACATTTTTTTTGTTAAAATAAGGATCTGGAGTGAGTCGTAAATTTACATCCGTGGCGTGGATCCCAATAATCCCTGCTGTTGGCATGTTTAACACAAAACTTGTACCACATAAAGTAAAAAATAATCGGATTGCAAGCAATTCACGCGTTTTAAGTTTAAGATGTTCTCTTATCTCAAAGCAGAATAATTTGCAAGTCTCCACAGAAGCATCAACATATATAAGCAAACTGGAATATCTCGAATTGAATGCGCGTCATTCTCAAGGGTGTGATCAGGTTGAGGTTGTTCTTGATAGGGGAAGTAACAAATTGTCGCACAATACAAAGGTTCTTCGCAAGAAACGATTACCATCTGTGGTGCGGTCGGGAGCAGAAGGTCCGCCAATTTGGCCGGAAGTGTTTGAGCATCCAGTAAACAGTATGTTAATTAAGGAAAACTTATCAAATGTGGGATTCAAAACGCAAAGCTTCTTTCTTTTAGTAGATTAATGTACTGCAGTTTAATTCATCTCCTGTATAATTCCGTCATGACAGCATTGAGCTTTGAGGGATGAAAAATGAATTACCTTCAGTGAATAATTTTCTTTTGCCATCCAAATACAATTAATTTAATGAAGGAAAACAGTCTTGCAAACAAAAGTAATTTGCATGACAAATCAGCTGAAAAGCGAAGCTGCAACACGATACTTCAACTTTTTAATAGGGAGAAATATTTAGAAGAGTGAAAAACAAATAGATAATAACACAAAGAAGAAAGCTCAACTTTGTTCCAAGTATAAGATCCCTAAACCGTTTACTTGACACGGTTTAAAAACAGGCAATTGACATTGGAATAAAACAGCACCTCGTTCTTTATTTCTTTTGTTTTTATTAGATGTCCTCGAGCGTTGCTCAGATTTTGTTTTTACGATCAACAAAGACCTCCTGAAAAAACAATTATTTACATTTTCAGGCACTTTTCAATTTAAATTTAAGTGCGTATCGAGGAAAGGTAGATAGATCATTTACGGTTGAGTGTAAAAGAATTTACTGTGATTCGATTTATTTTACACGCTAACGTTTTTCCAACGATTTTTCTCATTCGCTTTCAGTTTCACTCGACTGCTTTAACGCAGAGCCTGTGATAGTTTTAAAATTGAAAGACTTCTCGAAACAAAGGCTGATTGTCCCTTTACATTTTTCACTGATTTTTATTGAATAAATTCTAATGACTTTGTTTATTTTGTTCCGAGACTTTGCCAATTATCGATAATGAATCAATTAGCCCTTCTGTGTCCCTCTGTAGTAATTTATCTGAAATCCAACTGGAAATGCTAATTCCAGACAACAAAAACAGTATTCAATTAGAGCGACAGCTTAACCATTAGAAAGAACATAAATCAGTGACTAAAAAACCTTTTTAAACTTTTCAAATGAGCATTCATTGTTTTTCTTTGACTGCTAATTTGTTGTCAGCTGTTTTTAAATTGTAACCCTCCACCACGTCACAAGAAATTAAACACAAATGATAAAAGTTGTGAGAAAAAGCTTTCCATTTCTTACTAAATTTTTATTTGTGTAACTGAATTGAATATTAAAAATGTTTTATCTCATCTAATTAACTCTACTAATTAAATCCTAAAACCTAATAAAGCAGCATTTTAAAGTTTGACTAAGCAAGTTTGATGCAAAAGTTGAAGATTACAGTTTCTTTAACTTCGATGAATTATAAATTTGTAATATTAGTGGATTTGGACAACTTTCGGAAATACAAGACGCAAACAGCAGTATTAAGAGATTTAACTTGTTGCCAGAATTGCTCCATTTTAATTCAAGTTTATTTATGCAAACAAACTTTACCTACACATGTGCAAAACGACTAGACTTTATGTCGCAAACTTTTTAATTACGAAATTTTCAGAATCACATTTATATTAAAAGAACAAATTTTTATTTTTCATCACGTTTATTACAATAAGGTGTACAAAACGTTTGGTAATAATAAGTAGCTTTAGTTTCCGATCGTGCATAATACATGAGATGAACGCTTCTTAGGGTTACGAAACCAAGTCATAAACTAAAAAGGTAAAAAAGGCCGTGAAGATGCCTGATAAAAGCCTCGGATGACTATAAAAGTTTCCCTGCTGTCAAGTACTGAAAATGACGGAAAAGGAAAGCTTGAAGAAGATGTTCCAATAGGAAAAGACGGTTCGAGAATCATAAACATAAAGAAGAACCCGGCGATAAGTAGAACACAAATCTTTTGGAACAGATAGCTTTTATATGCAGCTATTGCACATAAAGGACAAAATTGGAGTGCAAAATATTTAATTAAGGTGAAGAAAAAACGATAAGTTTTTCACCATGCACTTCTGAAAGGTGTCAGGGACGTGTGGCTTCAGATACAGGAAGTAAATGAATACTGAAATAAGAACAGAAACTGTCACTTCAATTCGGAAGGATGAGAGAAATGTGAAAATAAAATATCTCCAAAAATAGACAGTTTATAGCGTGGGTGTATACACAATAGCTACTTTGTTATGAAATAATGAAGCATTTCAATAAGGGTGTTTTTCTAACTTATCTTATTCCATTTTATGTTTGTTGATTTTTAAACATAGTGTACTCGTGTTAATATTTTTTAATTAACTTACTTACTGTAGTATTTCTGGACCATGAAGTTACCTTAAATTAAGCTTCGAAGTTTTTTAATTTGGTTTAGTTAAAAAAATTCACGCAGTATTAATTGATTAAAAAAAAATATGTTCTTTGATCCGCTTCCGTAATTTTTCAGATGTTTGTAATTTTAGACTCGGTTATGACTAGTCTGTACGTAGAGAGTTTCAATTTGTTGATTAAATTATTTACTAATCACTTTGGTAATTTGAGTTTGCGTGTTTATGGTTTAATTTTGTAAATCAGTTGTATTTAGAGAAGACTTTCCAATGTAGATGCATAATTATGTAAATATGACTTTTGCATAGTGGGATTTATAGTGATTAAAATAGTGAGTCATTATTTATGTAAATATAACGTTTATTGTTTTATTGAATACATATGAGCATGACAAGTAACTAAAAATTATAATATTAGTACAATTATACATACATACAACTTATGTAATACAAAATTATCCTATATGCCTAGTATGTAGAAGTCATGTTTGGTTTGACGCTGAGCGACCATTCCTGGTTGAATGATATTGACATTACGAAATTCATACAATAAAAATCAACAGTTCTTACAAATTTTTGATAGAAATTTCATTGACATTTCTTTTCTAACAACTACATTGTTTGTACCTATAGTTATATTTACAAATTTCTAAATAATTTAGCGGTTATCCTTAAAAATTAGTAAAACGGTTTGTTTATCACACACAAAATTATGTAAGAATAAAAATTTTTTACACAATTTTCATTGAAAAAATTACAAGTACCTACACGTAAATCTACTTATTGTAAAAGAAGTCTGACTGAGAACTGTATAAGGACGTCTTGTTTTTCCTCAAAATGGGCTTCACGATCGTTCGATCATTTTGGATGTCAATAAATATCGATTGTCTCTTCTTAAAAATAATTATTATCGTTAAAAATACTTACAAAATTGCTGTATGTATCCAAACAATCTTTGGGTACAGTCCGCGCTTAGAGTTCAACGTGTGAACCCTGAGAGTTGAATCACAAACAATGAGTGTCTCCAAATGGAAGTTCTTTACTATAGGCGCGAGCACTGAACACTGAAAGTGCCCAAATCAATGCACAACTCCCTCACGAGGAGCCTTTGCTATCCTAAAACTTGAAGTACTCCTTGTTGCAGGAGCGTGCCGATCCGCACCATTTGGTTTCGACTAAAGGGGGGCACAATCGACCGCCGCGTCTGGCATGCTTTAGCACCTCTCTGCGTCGCTGCATCTCGCCGATTCCGCATGACTTGCTGCACTCGCTCCACGGCGACCATTCGCTCACGCGGCAGTCCCGAGGCGGTCCTGCAAAACGTAAGAAATCACCTACAAACCCTTCTTGATCGACACCAAGCACTCACGGTATTTCCTTATGTTCTTTCGCGGCTTGCGGTACTTTTTATGGTGATGGTCCTTTGAATGACTGAGATATGAATCTGCGATGCTGTTTATGATGGCGTCTTTGTCCCCTCGAGGGACCACGGCTGGAATCGAAGGGGACGTCACGGAGTCGTCTCGTTCGTTTCTGGAAATGGAAAGCAAATTAATATTTTAGATAACTCAACAAAGAGTTTTGTAGATTTTTTTCGTTTAGGAGCAGAGACAATGCTGAAACCAAGGAATACACGACTATCTTAAAACCAGCTATTAAACAAATTTCGGAAATTTTGAACAAACATTTATTTTGAAAACCAAAAATTTGGTTGAGGAGGAAACAGGGAAATTCATGTTTTTAATAACTTTTGGTTTTTGCTTTTTTTTTGTATTATATTTGTATTTTTTGTACATTCAATTTCAAGACACTTTAAAGGAGAGATCAACTTTCAAAATGCATATTTTTTTATTTACCTAATAAACGCAATGTAATAAAACATGAACATTTGTGAAATTAAATTCGAAATATTTAGACTGGGAGCTTCAAAATTAAATATTTTGTGAAACTGCTGTGACGTCACCAGCCCAACTCCATCAAACAGCTCACCGTTTACTGCGATACGTTGGCCTATGACTTTTTTTTTCGATAATTTCCCTTAACAGATGAATGATTTGGAAGAACACAATGATTTACTTCGTTAACAAAGTTTTATTGTGTCGGTGGTTTTGGATAAACAATTTTTAAATGATTTAGGCCGCATAAAAAATTATTGTCATACTGGCTGTTTAGAAAGTTATCACAATAGTCGTTTGAAGTATGCTCCAAAAAGGCTACATTTCTCATATCTTTCAATGTTACATTGATCAGGACAATGCAAATAGCAAAAAAATTTTTGAAGCATTTGTACTACAATTTCTCAAAATCGACAAAACAGTGCTTAAAAAAAACGTATACAATTGAAATAGCAAATTAACAAATAAAATAATGCAATACGCCAAGAATGAAATAGAATTGAAGAAATGTTTAAATATCCGTTTCATATTCCCCAGAATATTTTTGATAGGTAGACCTAAAGCATCACAAGTTGACCACGGCGTTAAATTTATACGTTTCAATAAAAATAATTAATCAAATAAAATTTTTTATGTTACTTACCTGACTTCAATATAATAGATATTTATAAATAACATTTTTCTGAAATAAATAGCATTTATATATGTATAAAAATGAATTTATTCAATGCATTTCTTTAATGAGTATAAATCTATAAATAATTAAGTAAACAATAATTGTCAGAAACGAAACTAACGGGCGTTTATTTAAATTTGGCGTCATAGTTGGCGGTTAATAAATATAAATAAATATAAAAATATAAATATAAATAATAATAAATATAAATATATATAAATAAATAAATATAATCTATGATGGTGACTTCTCTGCACAATATAACTATTCCCTATTTTATCTAAATCAGTTTGAATATTGACTTTGAATTGGAAAATAGAAATAAACCATGGAAACGTCATATTCTAAAACCACATTTACACTGGCCGCCAAAATTAACCGGACAACTAAAATTTTGCGATGTTTCACAATGAAATATTTTTGTTATTCTTTTCCGGATATCGACGAATTTTTGTTTGGCTTAAAGAAAAAAACTTTGTAGATCATTGTAATTTAATTCAATAACATTTCTAGTTTTGTCTTCTAATTGTGATACTCAAAAGACGAAGGCACAGTTTTTTACTTATTTTTGTACTGAGCTGTGGTGTGCGACAGAGAGAAACTTAAGTTTTTACTGATTTCAGATTATTGCTCATTCTTTTCTGAATGTATACCACATTTTCCATAATTTTAGTTCTTGAGACATGAGAGATATAAACCTTCAAAAAAAGCCTTACATTTCCAATTTCGTAGGCCGAATTTGCCAAAACGTTAAAATAGGCACATGGAAGCTTCCAATAATTAACCGTTTTACTTGTTGTAATCCTTTAAAGTTCCAAGTTTTTCAGATTTTTGTGTTCAAAGACGTAATTGTGCTCTTTTGGCGAAATAAGTAATAATTTTCGGTTTAATTAACTTTCTATGTAGCCTACTTTCTGAACGTATATTTAGTAACATTAGAAAAGCAACGTCTTTTTCAATGCTTTGTATCTCTGGGTCACTAGAAGATAAAATTTTTGAAACAAATTGTAACTTTTTGTAACAGATCTCAACTAGTTACAGTATCGGTTGCAACGGATATACGTATCATTTGGTGCTGCCCGCCCGACGTCATCACTTCATGCACCAAATTATCAAAAAAATTATATTTTACTCAATTTTTAAGATACTGAAAAAAATCTTTCGTCACTGTACTTCCAGAATTTTAAATTTTTGTTACGAATCATAAAAAAATGTATTTTGAAAGTTGATCTCTCCTTTAATATACCTTATTATTCGCTTTTAAAATTCACTATTTAGTGATAAAACTCGATGAGAGTAAAATTACCTCCGGGGTTTCAAGTCTGGATTAAATAGTCTGGATGTTCAAAAAATGTCCCTTAAATTCCAGCAACAGCTTTGTAAATGCAAATACACAGTTGTTGAACATCCTTTATGCTATCCGGATTTGGTACTCAATGATTTCTCAAGTCTATAAAGCAACAAGTCAGACAACAGCAACAATTTGGTTGAAAATACATAGCTCAAAATCAGTTTTCGCAAGCATATGTTTTAAATTGAATTTTGCGATCAGATTTTCAATTAAACGAAATTAGTATGTATGGGCAAAGCAAAATATTGTTTCGATTGGTAAAAGACCGCTAATGCAATTCATGAAAGCAAACATCTGTACAATATTTTTTCGCGTGGAAACGCTGCCAAACAAGACGCGACATTTGCGTAATGATCGATTTAAATGCGCCAATCGTTTGGCATTTTCTGTTGTTGTTTCATCAGCAAACACATTCCTATTTACAAAAGCGAAGGTAAACGTTTACCATCATCGTTTTGTAATTTTTTTCCATTCCGCATATATTTTTATTGTTAGATCGGTTTTTCGAAAGCAAAATATTATTCTGCTAACTTACATGCTGTTGAGTGATCTATCGGGATCAGATGAGACTCTCGAAGTGGAACTTGTAGTCGTAGATGTCGAAAGAACGAATTGTTTATATGGACGGGGTCGAGGTCGAGGACGCTGATGAATTTCCTGTTCTTCACGTTCTTCTTCGATTGCTGTTTCAATATCGCTGTTTCCATTTAAAACGTTTATGCTGTTTTGGGTCAAGTGCTCCATTTTTAAAACTTCATAACGTTGATCGTCTTCGGCATGGTGGAATACTTCACTCAGCTCGTACTCTTTGACCTGAAACAATCGCGAATTTTCATTTATCAAAAAAGGGAAGGTCCTTTCAATTACAAGACACTTGCCGATTTGAAGCACTTTTTTAAAAGCCCAACCTGATTTGTTCTCTTTTTTTTATCGAGCTAGAACTCTTAAGTACAGCTCTCGATAAAAAACATTTCCAGTTCATTTGTTATGGAACATATGCCCGTCCAAGTTGCGAACTTATAAGACATTACCTTAATAAATTGAAACGTGCCGATGGGAGGAAGACGCTTCAGATAGGGATAGAAGAACGATCCAGCAGGATGAGCGGGGTAATGGGCCGTAATGCGATAGGCCTCCCCTTGTGGTTCTGTCGGCCAGTTGGGGGCTGTGAACGTAAATCCGTTGTCGGTTCCGGCATCAATCGGATCCACCTGAACATAACCACATTCTAAGTGACAATTTAGCGAGTGTCAAATGAGGTAGGTACGATACATCAAGCAACAAGGGCCCTTTTAGCCTGCAGAATTAAGCACTTTAATTGACAAATTAAGACCGCACAACGAGCACGACTAAACGGGGACTTAATTGCATCCAACCGTCAGAATCAGAGCTTTGTCGACTGATTTTGCCAAGATGAGTCGCCTCCGAATAAAGAGAAATATGAGATGGTGCTTGTTAGATGAAATTCTTGATTGCGAGAATGGACATGTGAAGTGTATGCTGTAATTTACGCTGTCTTGTCTTTAATCTACAGAGGATCTAATGTCTCTGGGAACAAGTAAACACAATGCTCACAAGGAGAATTATTAATGCTACAGTGTTTCAAGAAAATGAAAAGCATTTAAAAATTTAATCTGAATGTCACTGTTCTCGATTTATTAAAAATTCCGATTTGCATTCAACAGCCAATCCTAAGATACAATAATAGGATTAATTTGTTACATAGAAAAGTGTAAAAAATGTATTTCCATGATTATGTATACTTATACAGGTGCGCCAGAACTCGTGCCCCAGAGAAATGGTAAGATACCAGAAACATGGATAAAATATTAAAAAAAATATGAGAGTTTAAATTTTGCACTTTGACTCTATTTCTTTTGGGAAAATTATAATTTTCCAAGTTTTTTTCCTACAGACTATTAAGAGGAAACAAGAAAGCTGTATCCTAAATTTACTGTAACTCTGTTTATTGCTATTTGTGGCTTTTATTAGCAAAATTTTTGTATCTTTCTTAATAATTATAAGAAAACCTCTACAAGATCATCAGTATAATATCATTAAATGCTAATTGACAAATTCCTCATTTTTCCATGTTAGCGGTATCTTATTTTACTTGAATTTTTTTTCTCGGGCACACCCTGTATGCTTAAGGAAGTAAATACAGTCGATGGTAATTTTACTTTAATCACCTGTTCAATTGAATTGCTAAATTGACTTGGGTATTCAATTAATGTTATAGTATATTACATAAAGAGCACGGAAAACGATAAATAACGCACAAGCGAGAAAGTTGCGCACGAGGCGTTAGCCGAGTGCAGGCAATACCGCGAGTGCGTTAGACACTTTCCTGAAAGTTTTGTACACTATTTTTCCTACGACCATAAATAATTTTTTTCTTACGAACATATTTTTTTTCATAACAATTTATTTTTTATAATGGATACAAAAATACGTTGAATAACGATTCATTTTTTATAATGGATACAAAAAAAATACGTTGAATGAAAAAATACAAAACATTCGAGTGTGAATTGTGCGTTAGATTTCTAACACACAGTGCGAAAACAAATCGCACAGGTTTTTGACCTCGTACGATATTGTCAATTTTCGCGCATATGTAATTGTGCGTTATAATCTAGTTTCGTATATGGTCGTAGGAAAAATAAATATCATTATTTATTTTATTTTCTTATATAATTATAAAAAATTTAACGTCCTAAAATAATTTAGTTTTTGCATTATATGACATAAATTACAGGAATGACAATAAAAAGCATTGTATTTTTTTCGATAATAAGATGTAGCTTAGTGCCCTATGAATTTAAAGCCACTTTATTTTGATGTATAACACAAAAAAATATATATTCAATTCAATTATATACGTCCTTAAATCACATATCTTCCTTCTTTATCGTATCAAAATCTTTGCAGTAAGTGGGTAATTTCTTGTCGAAATATCTTCTGCGGAGATTTAACCACTTAAATATTTTGGAATAAAATTAAGTTGAAAGAAAGTTTACTTAATCAGACTATAATACTAATACTACTACTGCACGGAGCAATAGTTTAGCTTTTAGATAAAAAACCTTCTTTACGATATTGAAAAATAAATGGAATGTACATAACTCTTTGTTTTTGAGATATTTTCTCCAAAAGATTTAATATTTATCGAGAAATTGAAATAAAGCAATGTTAAATGAGGTTGTTATTTTTTGTGTTTTATTTGTATGCTTGTCTACAGAGATTGTTAAAATTGAATCATTAAGACTAAGATGATGGTTTTCATAGTAAAGAATTAAAATGTTAAGAGAGAAAGCAGTATTTGTTGATACACTAAGGTTTTTTTAATCAGTGAAGAGCTTACCTCAATTGTGATGCTGTCTAGCCAATTACCGTTAACGCATAGATCAAAGCTGTCAATCCCAATAAACCAATCTGGTGATGGAATAATTCGTGTCATAAGCGAAACCTAAAACAAACAGACAAAACCTCACAAATAGTGACTCACAAAATAACTAATAAAGGCGTTTTCATTCTTTATGGCAATAAACGTAAAATAAAAGTATTTTAGAGATAAAACGTTTGAAGTGAAATCTATTTTTACTCTGTAAATTATCGTTCCTTATTTAAATTTCTTCAGGTCCGAGTAGTGAATTTCGCTTGAAAAGGCAAGCAAAGAGAAGAATGTGGTCGCCATGAGGAAACAAGTAGAGCTAATAAACAATGAATGAAGCTGAGGAGAAAAGAGCAGTGGCCGGTAATGAGATAGATGCGTGGTCACGATCAAGCATCTGCACGCTGGACACGCGTCCTCGTCACTCTACTTAGATAGCATTCTTTATTGTCTAAGGTTGTGACCAGAAAGATCCATCCGATATAAAATTAAAATTTGTGATAGTATCGACACTTTTGAATTTACCCTTGAATGGTTTCCATCGACGAAGAATTCCGCTTCGGTCCTGCCGACGCCTGTTGTAATGGGAGGAGCGTTGAACTCATCGTAAATTCCTCCTTCGCCTTGACTTTGCTCCTCTAGGACATCTGAACGACCCGTTTCAGCGAAAGCTTTCACTCCAGGCGACGATTTCTGACCCAACCGGAACAAAGTGAATGATTTGTTGTGGCTTCGACCTGCAACAATATACCAACATTTAATAAATAAAACTTCACTTCCAGCACTTTCGCTTTATCAAACTCGATGCAATTAACTCGCTTGGTTTAGTTTAACTTTGATCAAGAAAGAATGTAATTTCAATAAAAATCCTTGATAAGAAAAATGATAAGAATCAATCCAGAGCTAATGAGATCTCGGCTTGGCAAAATGAGCCCAGAATCGCCATCTGGCGAGAGATTTATTTTATGTTGTTTGCGGATATTAAGGTCCTTCAAATCGAGATAATTCTCATCAACGACAAAAACAGGCCAAGAAATAAAATCAAGTTTTTGTGCCGCAACTATGAGCATTATATTTCGAGGCATGTATCTGAAACATCCGCTATTAAAACTACATCTAAAACAGGCGACAGGTTTTATGAATGTAAAGACACGGTGTATAGATGCCATCATGAAATTTAAAAGCATCATTGCATTTTACTTCTGTTCTTCTAAGAGAATCAGGTATGCTTTGCTGCTGCATTCACTCACTGAAAACATTCCTGCTTTAACCATCTCACATCCTGCGACATCGATCTATTTCCAATAATACCTATCTACTCGTAGGTGCATTCAACTTTAAGTCTGTGAACGGACAATATGGAACAGCTTCAGAAAAAGGTAGGTATTAGAAAAGTCTAGTGTTATTACGAAAGGTGATTTCTATTTGTTACAAGAGAGATAAGGTGAATATAGGAAATGAAATTTTAGGGAAAAATAAGAAAATACTATATTGTGAAATGCTTTCTAACTACTCATCAAAAGACGCTCTTTAATAAATTTTTATTTTAGAAAAATATTAAAAATGAAACGATGCTTTCAGTTCTTTTATTATTTAAAAACAATAAATTGCTTACGTATAATAAATACACTCTATTGTTTAATTATTAAAAAGGGAAAAAACCTAGAGAAGAAATATTTAAAACCTTTTCTCATCGTAAAGATTTTACACCAATATTTGCTATGAATATTTCCAAGGGTTAACTACACCTAAATTCTCAATAAAAAATTTGATACCTACTTGAGCAAATTGAAAAACACTACTTCTTTTGACGATTTCTAACAGTGCCATCGCAAACATTTTCTTGTGTCGCTAAATTGTTTTTCAAGCCACATAACAAAATTAATTATAAAAAAGGTAGCGAAACGAGATTTTTTTATTCGGCGATCATCCAAGTCGCTTCGTTTTTTCTCTTTGAAGTTAAAAGACTTGTAAAAGTTCAAACGTTCCCAACGACAATATAAACGTATTACCGAGTACTTCATAAAAGTAATTTCCCCTTCACAATACACTTGTGCCTGTATTCAAGAAGAATTTAATCAAAAAGATTTAAAACCTAACAAATTTCGCTAAAATGATTTGATTTAAACCAATGTGCGAAAAAATATTTTAATATCACAAAAGAACTCTTCACATTTTATTGTTAGCTTTATTTTAATATGAGGACGTAGTGTAGAACGTTATTAAATTCCAAATTTCATCATCTAAAGAAAACCTTAAGGCGAGTATCAAAAATACATTAAAGGAATGCCATTTATGAAGAATCTTCTTTAATAAAACTTAGCCATGTATTACGAGAGATTAAATTTTTGCTTTTGTCAAAGGAGATTTATGTACTCGTAACTTTCCGGTGTGGATTTTATAGTGGTTTTTAATAATTATTATTAATCATAAAACAAATTCTAGCAACGCTCTAGCATCAATAAGAAACGTTTAATTAAAATCCAGCAACTATTATGCTTTGACATATAAAGTCATCTCACTAAAGCTAAATATATTTTTACCTAATATTTTAAACCCTATAAAACAGAGATCTCTAACATTTAAACGAACATATAAATTACGTGTGTTATATATTGTATAGAAACTGAATAACAGAGTTTGATTGTTGGGCAAACTTTGAATCTGCTTCAAAATAAATTAAAATAATTAGCTTTCGCTGAAAGCTTGAATAATTAATTCCCATTGGCTTGCAAACTTATGAATCGATTGCAGTCAAAGCCTCCTCTTCAACCGCCCCCGCAACTACAAATATCCGTTTCATCTTGAAAAATTAGTTTTATTTCATGAACTCAAGAGCGGCAACCCCAACACAGGCGTTCTTTTCATTCATGATAAATGCGTTAGGGTACAACGGTAAACGCACAAGTCTATACAAAAAGCTGTTATTAATTCCGATAGCAACCTGTCAGGGCCAGCAATCATCACAGACATTAACAATAAAAACAATAATTCATATTATAGCCATGTACGGCAGACTCCGATGCCTCAATTAATTAAATTCACAATCGTTTCAATAATGACGTTATATTATTGAGGGTATAAATAACTTTAATGATTTGCTGAACGCACCTGAACCAACTGTCGGTAAAAAGGATGACAGGATATTGAAGAAGAAGCAGATGCAGTTGACAAAATTTAATTGATTAACCAAAAAACAAGTCCACCTGTGTTGCTTCGAGCAACTTTTGTTGACGGTATTAGATATGTGGAGTTATTTGATATTTCGCTAGACTTGTCTAGGGCCGGGAATAGATCCGGTTAGGTCTTTATCACTGAAGCGGATAAATAAATTTAATGAAAGTCAGTTGAACCTGTTTATATCTGGCGAGTGTAGTGAAGCGCGCGAGCCGCAAATCTGCAAATAAAAAGTTGCCGTGGATCCGGTGTGCATTCCTTGAAGATTAGTTGCAGGACTGACTGCACCTTGCGCACACCTGCCAGACTAGACCGATCGACCACTAAGATACGGTACAAGAATCAGATCGACTCCACACATAAACAATACAATCACCGTTAGCTCTCTTTCTTTTCCGACACAAACTCGCCCAGCCACGGCCATTTTTATTGACCATTGTCTCAGTTTTTATTCAGTGGTCTAGTTCCAGAGGCGGATTCGACATCATTCCAAACCACTCAAATTCGCATTTCAAAAATAAAATCAACGAAATTAACTAATATTCCTACATTATTCAAAATAATCCTTTTTGCCGTTTATACACACTATTCCAACAGCAAATTAGTGAAAATCAATGATTCAATTTATGGAAACATTTTTTGCAAGCTTTGCTTTTACATCAAAAACGTAATCAGGACGTAAACCACAAAATTGCTAGTATTTATTTTAATAATATATTAATACGAATACACACAAAATGTTGAAAAAAATAAATACATTGTAAAAATAAATATTAAAAACGTTATGACTTGAAGTTTATTTACAACCCCTCAACGGACCTAAAAATTTAACTAAACAAAAACTTGGAACTCTCAAAGGTTAAGTACTTTTTTAAACTTTCAAAATTTACTATAGAATAATTAAACAAAGCTTTTCGAAATACTCGTATATTTATTTGTTTCTCCAGTAAATCTTTTTATTGTGAATAGCTTCGTACTATGTCGTTTCAGAGTTTATGTTATCGCATTCGTTTAATACTTTTCAATTTTTGATTTTCTTAGAACTTACATTCTTGAGTTTAGTGTTGTTATTTCCAAGAACTTTTTCGTGGTGAACAAGTTTTAACAAGCAAAATAATAACACAAATAACATGAGAAATTATGAACTGATGGCTCTGCAAACTATGTTTGGTAGATTACATCTCAAATCAATTTTTTTCAATTTTATCGACTTGACTATTTTGAATCACTCTGCTGGAGTTTCTCAGCCAATATGAATAGTATATTCTGTAACAAGGTTAGAATTAAAATTCGACGCGAACGTTAGCGATCGTGAACGAGTTGAACGAATAGATCGAATTTTGAATCTAACCGAGAAACAGACTCTATTTTCTCCACTACCACAAAAGTATGAATCAAAAACAATTAAATCTAAACAAAACAAGTTATTTGACATTGATATTTGACACTGACAGTTTTGAAATCCATGGCAATGTATCTATATTTCGTTTAGCGTAATTATATCGGGTATTTGGGTAAATTTGGCGTCATTGGGAGTGATATGAGTGTGTTGTGAACGGACCACAATTTTCATACGCCCGGGGAGTTGTCAAATGTCAGATTAATAACTTTCAATACGATGGTTCGTTCACAATCAAACTTTGATGGACAGCTTCGACACCAAATTTAAAAAACGCCCGTTAGAATATTCATTCAATCACTTGTTATAGAATGAAAATACGCGCAAAACACGTAAGAAGCGTGTGTTTCAGGATAAATATTGTATCTGCTCAAGAGTGAGAATTTTTACTTTCTATTATTAAAAATGATTTCGAAATTATTACATTCACTAATGGTCGTAGAGAAAAAACATTCCTAAACTGTATTATGTATAATCTACTATGAACACATTGAAAAAAAATTAAGCAGGACTAATTAATTAAGCACCTACGAAAGGAAAACTGAGAATTGTCTGTAAAAATGGTACTTAAATTAAGTCATTAAAAAAACTAAGTGATATTCTGAGACTCTTTTTATTACGTCTGTGTCTTTTGGAGCGTTGGTAATTGACCTAATTTGGTATAAAAATTGCAAAATTAAAAGATCGATTTGTAAAGCGCTGCCAATCAGCATAAATCAGAGAGTTTACGAAGTTTAAGTGCTTCTCCCAGAATCAGGTAATCGATCGTTGTTCGCTTTGGTAAAAATTTGGCTTCTAGTGGAAATTTGTCTGTGTGTCTCCAAAACTTTATTTGTAAACTTTTGCAAATAAATGTCGTAGGTGGTGATATATTTACTGCGGCTAGTTTGATCCAGTTCAAAGTATCCCCTTATCGTCTTCTAATATCTGTTTTCCACGCAATAATTATTAAATAAAACAGTAGACAGTGAAAAAACCTTGGGTAAAAAATAAATTAGCCGTGTTCTTTCTTGGCATAATTTTAATTAACAAAGATTCAGGCCATCAAATATTCATGTCCGTTTAATTAGAGCGCTCTCATTACGTTGAAAATTAATGAGATCAGCAAAGCTCTAACTTTCGCATGTCGGTGATGAAGCGACTTTAATTGACTGCCTGCTA